CCAAATTGCGATGTGACAGCTCCAATTAGCATTTAACCATTTTTCGGACAGCTTAGCATAATTATTTTCTAGCTTGTAGCCCAACGCCTTCTATCAAAGGCCTGATTTCGTGGGCAGAGCGCATTTGACTCGGTCGCGAATAAGTCCCGTAGGTAGACAGACGCTGCAAGCACAATGAAGTTCGCACTCATGAAGGGCAACTGAGGTAAATGCGACGCATCCCCGACAACTTTGTATTATAACTGAACTTTGGGCCCCGTCTATTACGCGAAAAACGAGTAATTTAAAATTTATTTTTTTAATTTATATCGCTTAAAATAATTAATCAATAAAAATATTTTCATTATTGATGATATTTTTTTATAAAATATTTTCATTAACAGTGAAAAATATTATAAGCGATATAAGCAATATAAGCGATCAAGTTTAGGAAAATATTTTAAAAATCACTAATTTTTTGCAAAAAATAAAAAATCACTCATTTTTCGCAAAAAATATAGAATCTTAGTTTCCCTCGTCTTCCTGTGTATGTAGTAGTAGCATTTTGGACCATTCCCGTGTCATGTGGTTGTGGTCCTCATTAGAACTTAGACTTTGTTCGTTTCAGGAAAATGACTTCCGGGAAAATATTTTCCAAAAGGAGAATATTTTCGAAACGAACAGAGCCTTAGTTTCCCTCGTCTTCCTGTGTATGTAGTAGTAGCATTTTGGACCATTCCCGTGTCATGTGGTTGTGGTCCTCATTAGAAACTTAGGCTTTGTTCGTTTCAAGGAAACTAACTTCCATGCTCCGTTCGATTAGGGTATGTAACTCTTTTAAACAAAAATTTTGGGGACAAATGCACCACGAGTCCTAAAATTTGCAAAAAGTGCAATCGAGTCTTAAAACTTGTCAAATTAGTTCAATCGAGTCCTAAATTTAATACCGTTAAATTTACTAACGGAAAATGCTGACATGTAATATTTCATTACTTTCTCAAGACACATGGCAATGATGTGGCATCTAACAAGCGCCACGTCAGCAAAAATAAAAATAAAAATTAAATTAGAAAAAAGCTATAAAAAAATAATAACCAACCAATGGCTGTGGTGATGGCCAAGCCCTCGCCGGTGGCCGCCGGGAAGGGCCGGCAGAGGTCACTCGGGCCTTCCCGAAGCCCGACGACCCTCGCCGACCCTGGGCGAGGCCCCACCGGTCCCCGGTGATGGCATGAAGCCCCCAATCTGGGGGAGGGCGCAACCCTCGCCCCAGATCTGAGCCAGGGTTGCCGACGAGGCCTCGCCTGGGGTCGCCCACCCTGGGCGAGGCCTCGCCGGTCCTTGCTGGCCCCAGGCGAGGGCCGGCGACCCTCGCTCAAATTTGCGGCGAGGGTCGCACCCCCCCCCCCCCCCCCCAGATCAGGGGCTACAGGCCCTCGTTCGGGGCAGGTGAGGGTCGCCGGGCTTCAAGAAGGCCCAAGTGACCTCCGCCGATTCTTCCCGACAGCTGTGACGGCGGCCACCAACGAGGGCTTGGCCACCACCGCAGCTGCTGGTCCTTGGTTTTTTTTCCTTTTTTTTGTTTTGTTTTTTCTAATTTAATTTACATTTTCTGACGCGGCGCTTGTTGGACGCCACGTTTCAAGAAAATTAATAAAATAAGACATGTCAGCATTTTCCGTTAGTAAATTAGACGATGTTAAGTTTAGGATTCAATTTAATTAATTTGACAAGTTTTAGGACTCAATTGCACATTTTGCAAGTTTTAGAACTCAAATGCACTTTTGTGATAAGTTTTAGGACTTGTAGTGCACTTATCCCAAAATTTTAAAAACGATAGGTAATATATATTCATTTTCCTGGAAAATGACTTCTTGATAACGATGCATTTTTTGCGAAACCAATGGAGCCTCGATACCAAATTCGTTTTATACACAAACCATACTCTCTTTTTTTTGTCACAACACAAACCATACTTTACATACGATTAAATGAAGATATATTACCCACCATTTTTCTAATTTGTGTATAAAAGAGTTGGGGCGGCAATTGTGTTCTTATTTATTAGTCAGGTCATTGATCGTGTGTGTGGACAGGTGGACCCGCAATTCAACAGGTATGTAAAGACCGGCACTTAATTTGCCGGTAACTGCGTCCTGTGGTGGTGGCTATTCTCATTTGTGGAAACAATGATGAGAGTGCAGACCAGCGGCAGCACGTGGGTACGATAAATCCGCTTGACTAGTCTCCGTATGATCTGATGCAGTACTTTTTTCTTGGGTCGGCAGCATGATGCATGACTTCGTATTCCAATGGCGCAAACATTTTAGTTTCCCTTTCTTTTTTTGGTCAGAATTTTAGTTTCCTTTAGCTGTTTGTGTTCTGCACTCTGCATCTACCAAAAAAAAAAAAAAAACTTTGGAAGATGGGAATAAACGAGACGATTACCAAAAAAAATTAAATTTATTATACGGATGTCAATTTAGTTCTTAATCTTTTAATTTGACTAATTTAGCCCCAAATATTTTGGCAATTTATTAATGTAGACATTCGTAAATATAGGTTTATGACTTTTTTGATAATTATTCCGGAATTAAATTATTTAGATCTCTAATTCTTATTTTTTAATGTTTCAAATTCCTTAATCATATGCTAACTCGAGGATGAGTACTTTGTTAGCAAAACCATAAAAATGCTCTTGTGGGGATCACGTGAGAGAAAATCGGGGTAGTATTACTTTGAGACATCAAAGAGAGGCAAAATGAGAATACAAGAACAGATGAAAAAATAATTTAAAAGGAAGGAAAAGTTTCCATTCTAAAAGGAAAAATCACAAAAATCCAACTCCATCTGACATACCCTGACCAACCGACTTTGTGACCATTCCAATGTATTTAGTCATGGGCATTTTCGGCTTTTGCCCCTTCCCGCTCGCCCCTCTGATCCGAGGGCGAACCTCCGCTCGGCGAGGTTCGCCGTGCGGCGAGGCGCCTCACCGGATCTCGGCGAGGTCGACCGCCCTCGCTCGGGCGAGGTCGACGCGGGACGAGGCCCCCTCGCCGGATCCGGCGATGGGCGACCCTCACCCGCGCCGCGAGCCGCTCGTCGACGCGGTGAGGGCCCTCGCCGGAAAGGAAAAAAAAAAAAAAAAAAAAAAAGCAAAAAAGACGAAAATGTCCATGGACTAAATATATTGGGGTAAATGTGTCACAAAAAGCAAAGTTCGGGGTTTTTGGTGTCACAAAAAAAAGTTCGGGGTAAATGTGTCACAGATGGCAAAGTTTGGGATTTTTGGTGATTTTTTCCCTATTCTAAATTAAGATGACAATCCCATCCACCGTGTCCTTTGATGTGCCGGATAGCGCAAACATATTCTCAAACGCATGCTTCAATAATTGCGTCCTTCATAAACTTTTTGTTAATAAAAATACACCTCTCTAAATCGATGAACAACCAAAATGACCATTCACGACTTAATAGTAACACGGGCAAACGTGGAATATGCTTTCGCAGATTCACCTTTGATAACATCAGCAATTGAATTATATTAGTGGGTTAATTTGAAAATTTCAAAATCCAGGACCCACAAGAAAAATCCATGAATTTGAGGGTTAGTTTAGGTAGTTAGTTCAAGAACCTAGGAGAATTTCCTATACAGAGATATAGCATTTGATCTTTTTATGGACAAAAAAGTTTATCTTGAGAAGGTAAATCTTAAATTCATTGATGCTCCGTTTACTTTATTGACTTGATAGTCAAGAGTCAAAAAGTCAATGGCGAAACACGACGAAATTATTTACACTTGATTCCGTGGCAAATTAACTACACATCGTGCACCTAATGCGGGTATGGATACCCTTTCTTTGATCACTAAATAGATCTTATCCTAGCATTTCAATTTTATCACCTATATTATAGACTATAGAGACACAGCACAAATAATTGATGTATTAGACTCAACTAGCTATCTCTGCAAAAGCCAACCAGCCACAAAAGTTGCGGGAGGTCTTGTACCACGAGCATGTGATGTTGACCTATAACAAAAAATACAATTACAAACAACCTACAAACTTTGAATCTTCATCTTCTTCATTTCGAAATGTCCTACTGTAATTGTAGAAACATTCTTTCTCCTATTAGGAACTGAATTGAGTTAATGCCATATGCAAGGAAGGAAGGTAGATGTCGTTAAATGATGCATAATGGGACTCAAATTCCGTGCTAGAACAGGGATTTCTATCCCATATCCAAATTCATCGTAATCGTTGATTTTGTGGGATCCACGTGGACCTCCAATGTAAAACCCGCGATTTTCTTAAATTTTTTTTCCCTAAAATGTCAACAGTTCTATGTAATAATTTACTTGGATAGGTAGAGATGGCGTGGTCGGTAACATATGAAAATCTCTCAAAGGCCAGCCCAGGCCAGGCTAATCAGCCACCTGTCCTGTTTTGTGACATTATACAGCCTACTTTAGCAATGAAAATGCCGTAGGCCTTGTCTGCCTTTTACAAGTTTACAACTTAAGTCCAAGGTCACCCACTCATGACTGCAATGACCAATCATTATTCGTTACGAACGTGGTCGGCCCATCAAATTTTGGGCCCAGTAAGCATGTCCTGGCCCCACAACAGTAACGAGGTTCTGGAGATAGAGAATCAATAACAAAGCTGGTTCTTTTTTTTTTTTTTTTTTTCCGTTAGCATTATATTCCGAATACGGAGTGAATGTCACGGACTCAGAAAAGCGAGAAAAGGGAAGGTTACCAACGAGATGGCCCAGCAGTCGACACCGTGCAACATCGGAGATCTTCGAAGATTTAGCAATTAAAAAAAAAAAGACAAACTCTAAAGGCATAAAATCAACGGAGATTTTAGCGACGAGCCGAGCTTCGTCTCACTGATTTTCCCGACTTTATGTCTACTTTATTAATCATAGGAACAAAGAAGCAATGGATTTGGAAGGCTCTAGGTATGCCGCATGATCACGAAAGCATGTCATACGTAGCCGATCGGTCCGAGTTAGTTGTTGGGGCACTTCGGGGGCGCTTTGAGGCCGCATTTCTCGGGCAATGCCATGGCGTTGGCGGGGTTTATCCCGAAGTTCGGCAGCACGGACCTGTAGCGGCAGAGGCACTGCATGTCCGCTTTGGAGATTGCCTTGCAGCATTGCTCGGTTGGCGGGGTGGGGTGGTCGCCCGTGACGGCCGGGAGGCACGAGGCTAGTTTGTCGGTTGGGATATTGCACACGGTCGTGGCCTTGGCTCCTCCCGCCATGGCTACGAGCAGCACCAATGCGAGCCCCAGCACCAAGCTCTTGCCGCTAGATCTCCCCATTTGGCTCCCTAAAAACTCAGCGATTTAGTGGTACTTCGAGGGCTTTAAGCTTTTGATTTCTCGACGAGTGTGTATTTATAGTGAACTAGAACTAGCGCCCGTTAATCACTTTTTGTTTATGTGTTTATTTTTGTTCTATGGTTGTCGGAACTCGAAACATGGCTCGTGATTTGTGCATGGATTTTCTGTATGGACGAATAAACAAGCGATCGTCACGGGTATTAAGGCATTCACGTGACTCATCTGTCTGGCTCACGAGGAATGGCATCTTGATGGCCTTCCCATGGAAAAGTCAGGGTAAGGGACACTGGGACGGACTCCAACCGTCCGAGCGATTTCGTTATTACAAAACATCCACCGATTTTGGCTCTTGTGTTTAGGCGGTCCGCGGGATTAGTAAAAGTAATAAAAATGCGGTTATTTGTTTTCATCAAGTGGGTTTACTTGTCATGGAGAAAAATATTCAAGCGACTTTATTGCCACGGTGAGAATGTCTTGAAATTTCGATTACCAACACCAGGCGACAAAACATGAACGAACTCTGCCATGGATGAATTTATATCATATTTATTGGGGGATAAAAGAAATGGAAAGGCTGTTCTATATCTTATTATTGGGATAAATTCGCGGATAATGAATGATTTGAGAAATATTTTCCAAAAAATGATAAATTGTATTGCTTACGAAAATGAATGAATGGAAATATTTCTCATAGTCCATGAAAATGTTTAGACATAAATTGTTGTAAATTTTCATCGACTAATGATTTCAAGTAATATAAACGAATATTTTTAACGAAAACGTTTTCCAAATTATTTATTTTCCGCGAAACAAATGAAGCCGTAATTTATAAAACCCATCGGCAGAGTGAAATCCAACATCTCTTAGCACCTCTAACCAAGGAAGATTAAGCAGAGCCATAAGACTAGCGATTTATTCTAGAGTTATTATACGTTTATGTACAATTTTTTTTTTTCCATTTCCGAAAACATGCGTGGGTCCACCGATTGGGCCCTTCCTGGCTTTTTTAGGTTCCGAGCCCGAAAAAACCAAACCCAAGCCAAGCCCCAGCAAGCTGCCAAAGCCCGGACCGAAGAACATTTTCCAAGCCGGTCACTCGGGTCGGGACCAATCCGGGTCTCGGGCCAAGCCATCTAAAACCCGAACGTGCGGTTCGGGGGAGAAACATCGGCACCGTACTAATTATAAAAAATAAAAAATAAAAAAGCCGAGAATTCCAACGCGCGTGCGCCCAAGCTATAAATGCAAGCACCAAAAGTGGACGAAAACTAGAAGACTCGTGGGCTCCGTCGTCGTCATCCCCCGCTCGAAACGTCACTGGGAAATCTAGGTCTTTTTCCGCTTTATCCCCCTCCCCACGTAATTCGCCCTTCTCGAATTGCCTCCTCCCTTTTCGTCGATTCCTCCTCCTCGTAACTGCTGCGAATCCCCGGAACCAGTTCGAATTCGGATCGGGGCGGCGTAACATGGCGTCCTCCGACGACGAGGCCGAGGCCGAGGCCCTGCCGGAGACGGTCTCCACTTACTACTTCGAGGACCACGACGACGAGCCGGTCTCGTTCTCCGTCCTGCCGCTGCGGTGGGGCGAGGCGGATGGCGGCGGCGAGGACGCGGCGGCGGAGACCGTCTTCCTGCACGGGACCGCCGATGGCGGCCTCCGGAAGGTTTACAGGGAGGTCAAGTCCTGGAGGTTCGATCTCGGCGGCTCGGGGCCGGAGGTGTCGGTGCTCTCCAAGGACAATGTCTTCTTCAAGCTCGATAGGCCGAGGAGGAGCTTCCAGGATACGATCAGGACCGTGCTGATCACGTTGCACTGCCTGCACTACGCCAAGTATCACCCGGACGTGTCCGCAGAAGCGCTGTGGGAGCACTTGGCTAGAACCTTGGGGTAACGCTCTTGTCAGTGGGTTGTGAGAATTTACCGTTTGACATCTTCACGTGTCATGGGGCACGTGTGATTTTTGCCTTTTTCTCAATCTGGTTTCGTAGGTTCTACGAGGTCCGGCCTTCGGCGAAGGATTTGCAGGACCATGTGGCCTTAATTAAAGAGGCTATGGGGAAGGATGATGCATTGGCGAAATCCAAGGTTGTTCTTGTTCCCGTCATCTCGTTTAGATTCATGACCCTGTTCTTGTGATGATATTCTGGCGATTGACATGTAGTCGCTAAAGAGAAGTTTTAGATTGTTTGTCTATTTCAAATTGTCGTGTCGTAGCTCCAGTGACGAAAAAGTTTAACTGAGAGCAGAATTCCGGAGCACCATTTTTGTTAATTATTTTTTGTGCGTGCTTGGTGTGGTAAATGAGCTTGTGTCAAGGATGAGAAATGTTTTGAGTTGTTGCTTAGGCATTCATATGACTCCTCTATCACAGAGCAATTGTCAATGCACAGACTGTTTGCTATTTTCAATAGGTTTTCAGTTCATTGCAACTAAAGTTGAGTATTGATTTGAAGTTGATCAAGTTGGAATCGCTTGCAATTAGAGTCGAGCATTGATCTGAAGTTGATCGACTTTGAATGCTGGACTAGTTTAGGGAAGCTCTTAATGGTTGGAAACTTTTGACTACTGTCTATAACTCCAATGCTATAAGCTATAAGTGGCCTTGCTTTTTGTTTTCTTTTTACTACATTTTTTTATTAGTATTGTTTGCAAAGGGTTAAAGCTGTTTCAAAAAAGTCTGCTTTCTTTGCTTGGACTTCCATGCATGTTTAGTTTCTAACAAATGATTAGATGCGGCTTCATAGATTCATCTTTATAGGTTGTTATTTCATGCATATAGTTACTTGGGTTTGCCTGTTCAAGAAAGTGGGAATCATCTTTGTTTTTGCCAAAGAATGTGAAAGAGATGATTGCTTACTGAAAAATGGAATTTTAAATTCAAATTCATGAAAAAATCTTGGAACTTCCTTCTGTGTCTGCCATGTGGTACTTATGTATTGTTAGGAACGTGAGGATTTTTGAAGTTTATGAATTGAATTGTGAAAAGTTGGAGCCTTTTATAAAATATGCTGTTGACTGAGCTGCTTTTGAGTTTGGTTAGGCCTTTTTAGTTTCTTTCTGCCGTTACTTTTTGATGTATACTCTCTTTGTACTCATGTGTGTACTCATCCAACAAAAAAGACGGGTTCAAGCAAGTCCATTGTTCATTTGGACGTTCATTAATTGCCGGACATAATTCATGCAGGTTCTGAGCAAATTGACGGAAGAGAAGCCCTGGGAGAGGAGTAAATCTGGCGAGGTTAGATCCTTTACCTTTTCTTTATCTTATTATTTTTTCTCTGTAATTTCTGCCATTTTCCTTTTATTTGTTTCTCTGACGAAGGTTTTCTTAGGATCTTTTAGAATGTTGCAAAGCCTAGTTTCATTGTGGATGACACTGAAGATGTCGGGATGGAAGATGTTGAAGATGAGACTGCGGAAGAGGATGATTGTTTTGATTCTGTTTGTGCGCTATGTGATAACGGTGGTAACCTTTTATGGTACGTGTCTTCCTCCTTCAGTTTTCTTTTTTTGATATATACTTTTTTGGTCTGTTAATTTCTAGAAATTTAGTGATCAGAATACTTTTGGTTCCAATCCTTTAGGGCATTCTTCATTGTGGTCCCTGTTCTCATTTTAGTCCCTGAACGAGTGTTTTGCTACTATTTTTGTCCCCCCAATGGCATTTCAATGTACTGTTTTGGTTTCTACAGAGGGACGAAAATGGTCTTAAAGTACTTGTTTAACGACTACATTGGGAGTGAAGGTACAGGGACCAAAATAAAGAACGTCCAAAATACTCAGACCAAAATTATAGTTTTTCTTTTAGTGATCCCAGTGTTCCAGTTTATTCCTGCGACAGTCTTTCGATTATTCTGGTGCTATTGTATCGTTTCAGTTCCTATGAGAGAAACATTCTCTCTCCGTATGAGTGTGTTCCTTATAATGGCAATGGTAACTGGGAACCAGCCATGAATGTAGTCTGTTTGTATATTCAGCTCGTTTTAATAACTCTGACACAATTGGATTTGACCCGGTAAACTGGTCAATCTGGTTCTGATTAGGCTCGGCTTTGCGAAGTTAGTCAGCGTCGTTGAGGGATAGAGCCATACCCGCTCTCTAAGATAGGCACATAAGCTTTTGCCACTTTGTAAGGGTGCTCGTTTGTGTCCGTATGCCATCTGTTGTATATATTCTATATCTCTCTGCAAAATTCCAAAGCTCCACAAGTTTGGAAATTGAACCTGGGACTCATATGTGAACCGCTCTATGCGTTGACAAAATGGGCTGCATTTAGTCAAGTGTTTACGTATAAATATTCTTTGAAAATGCTGGTTCACCAGCTAAGCGCTCCCTTGATAAGGTCTTACTCCTGTCTGGTTTACAAAACATTAGCGTAGACTCAAAAAATCCAACCTGGTCTACCATCTACCAGCTTTGATGAAAATTCTCTTCTCTGATTTTGATCTTCCCTATAGATTATATGTCCCAATGGGCTTTAGACAATAAAATTCTTGGAAGTGCGAGTGCATGAATTTTCCATATTGTATGTGGGGTGAAATGTTCTTTTTGCTTTCAGGGCAGTTTCTGCTCTTTTAGTGAAGTTTTATGGACGTTCTTATTGCACCTTTTACGTTAGTTTGGCATGCAATTTTTTAGTTAAATTCATATCTGACAGTTTGTTAGCAATACAGCTGTGACGGAAAATGTATGAGGTCATTTCATGCTACTGAAGAAGATGGTGAAGACTCTCTTTGCGATTCTCTTGGATATTCACAGCATGAAGTTGATGTAGGACAATACTTCATTTTTTATTTCTTTTTTGTGTTTTGAAGTTAGTTCTCTTTTTGCTTTGGTATCTTCTTTTCTGCTAGGTCTTTTTTTTTTTTTTGCTCTGGTTTCTAATTTTACTTTTGTTGTGACGTTGACAGGCAATGCAGACTTATAAGTGTGAAAATTGTGTACACAAACTGCACCAGTGCTTTGCATGTGGGAAGTTGGGCTGCTCTGACAAGTCTTCTGGTGCCGATGTATGAGACAGTGGGAAAAGATCAATTGTCTGGCTTCATATGTCACCCCTTAATCTGATTTTTATGATGAAGGCGTTAAATTCTGCAGAAGTTTTTTTTTGCTATAAAAACTTATACTAAATCAATGAGGCTTGCAAAGGATACTGAACTCTGTATGTTTTTTTTTTCTAAGTTTGGTTCAGGTGGAAACATCTACCGCTCATGCTTGTCCACAGTATCTACTTAGTAAAAGTCAGCCATGTCTGTGCCCCAGACCACATATTTTGGCATGGTCTGAGCTAACCCCGTGAAGCAAGTCCAGCAATTGTTATTTTGAACTGGAGAAGTCTTTCAAAACATTGTCTAATCAAGCCCGTCTTTTTTATGGGAGAAAGAATTTTCAATATTTTTAAAGAGAGAATTTAAGGTTGGGTCGTTTAGCTCAGGACTTGCCTGGTCTATCTCTTGAACATACTCTTAACTTGTGACTGCGATGAGCTCCCTCATTCCTCCTTCTCCCTGCTTGCAAATTTAACACCAAAAATATGTTAATCATCAAGTTTTCTGGGTTTGTTTGGTATTCAATGGGCCCGTTACTTGACTCCAGGCTTCCAGAATTCTATTCAAGTGCTGTTTTATGTCAATTGTGGTTTTTCTATAGCTTAGTTGTATGGATATGTTTTCTGACACTAATTCCTTGTTAGGTCTTTCAATGTGTTTCTGCTACTTGCGGCCACTTCTACCATCCCCATTGTGTAGCAAAATTGTTCCATCGCAAAGATGAAGTTGCTGCAGAAAAATTTAAGCTGAGGATTGTTGCAGGCGAAAGTTTCACATGTCCTGTACATAAATGCTGTGTTTGCAATCAAATAGAAAACAAGAAGGAACATGATCTGCAATTTGCTGTATGCAGACGATGCCCCAAGTCTTACCATAGAAAATGCTTGCCAAAGTATGTTCTACTGAACTTTTAGATTATTATTGCTTTAGTCTCGTTGTAATTGATCTATGATGCTTCATATGCTTGTGTCAAGGGAAATTGTTTTCGAAGATTCAGATGAAGATGCAATAACAAGGGCATGGGAGGAATTGCTACCCAATCGCATATTAATTTATTGTTTGTGAGTGTTACTTCAGTAGCTAAGCTTCTTTAGCCTTTAACTCTTAAGCATTTTGCCATCATCTGCTAAAGAGCTGTCTTTAACTTTGCAGAAAGCATGATATTGATGAAGAGATTGGGACTCCAGTTCGAAACCACGTAAAGTTTCCTACTATTCGAGCAAATAGGGCTGCCGTTGGAGAGAAAAGGAAAAGACCAATATTGGAATCACTCTCTACCGCAGGGAAAGGTTTAAAGAAGAAACCTCTTGCTTCAGAGGACTCCTCGAAAAGAGCTTCAGGAAAATGTTCATTTGGAAAGGAGAAATCTCCTTTAACGAAGAAAGAAGGTGAAAAAGACAAAAAAGTGAAAGTATCATCTGGACAAGATTTAGCCAAGAAAGCGAAAGCGAAGGCGACAGATGCATCCAAGAAATTTCACAAGGATACTGCCAAGTCCAGGTCTTTGGAGCCCAGCACATCTTTTACCACAAGGGAGCACACTTCTCTGGGTGAAAGCTTATGTTCCTTCATGACAAAGGCATCTGAGCAAATAAAACCAGGAAAACAAGTTGTACCAGATAGTGAAGAGACAAGACCAGTGCAGCCTGCTTCCAAGGAGTCTGATGACTCACTTCCTGAACTAGATGCTGACGCAGAGAGGAGGTAATTTGTTCTTGTCTGTTATCTTAGTTGGTGTTTAATGATCAGCAAATGCGCATTGTAGGATGTATTCCATTCTATTTAATTCTTCAATTATGTGTTCCCACGATAAGCAGGCTGTTGAATCTAATGAAAGAGGCTGTATCTTCAGTAAGTATGGGAGATGTTATGAGGAAGCAGAAAGTGCCATCTACTCATGCACAATATCTGAAGTCAACTGTTGATAAGGCAATTACTATTGGGAAAGTGGAGGGTTCAGTTCAGGTACATACTTATGCATTAACTCAATGCGTCAATAAGGATACTTTAATTGAAAGATTGCATGTGCAGGCTCTTCGAGCAGCTTTACAGAGGCTAGAGGAAGGAGACAGCAATGAAGATGCAAAAGCTGTCTGTGACCCAGATGTTGTAACCCAGATTTTTAAGTGGAAGGTTCAGCACCTTCACATTCTATTTTCTATTCTTGTATTTGAGGTTATTCTTGTAATCTATTTTCAATTCGAGATGTGGTCTCTCTCTCTCTCTCTCTCCCTTCAATGTCTGGTGTAATCTGCACTGCTGCTTGATTGAAACAATACTTTGCGGCTACGCTCATGTTTTTCTCTTAAGTGGAAAGAATAACTAGGCTTTTTAAGTGATCAAAAGCATTAGTTATATTTGTGGCCCAATGTGAAGCTTTTAAGTTATCAAAAGCATTGGTTCTATTTGTGTCCCAATGTGAGCTCAGACTGTAGATTAAGCTTCTTACCTTTGATCTAGTCCTTTATTTTTGAGCATTGCTTGCATCGGTTATTTGTTTTGACCATTCATCTTTATTTTGTTTACTTTATTTATTTATCCGTTTTGTAATCAGCTGTTAAAACCATTGGAGGTTTATGCATGATTTGCTCCCCTTTTTTTGCTGATACTTGAGAAAAGAAAAATATGTTAGCTCATTAACATAGCCCACTCTCGAAAATGCTTCTTATCAAATGTTTTACATCCTGTCGCAATTTTTTTGTTGATGAACAATCTCTCATATGCTGATTTGATTGGCTGCAGGACAAGCTTAGAGTATATCTAGCACCATTTATATATGGTATGCGCTACACTTCCTTTGGTCGACATTTTACGAAAGTGGATAAACTTCAAGAGGTGATTGTTCTTTGAATCTGAAGCCTTTTTATCTCTGAGTTGGCAATTTTAGTTGGTTTTATGTGCAGATGTAGTGCTTCGTTTTCTTGCTTTTTTGGCAAATTGTTACACACCAGAATGAACTATATAAGTAATGATAAATAAATTCATTTTCGACCTTCTGTTATGGAGATTTAAAGATTTGTGGACCCCCTTTCATTTGATAGTGAAAAATACTACTTACAACATAGAAGTAGCCAAATGTGCGCCGGCTCATTCACAAAGTAACACTCCTATGAAATTCTATGGAAGTCAACAACTTGCAAATTATTGCTCTATTTATACTTGCAGAAAGCTATTCTGGAATCTCCAAATTTACTTATATTTGTTGCCTTTTCTAGGAAATTCTCTGATTTTTGCCGAATGCAACATTTGAAACAAGAAAATGTAGGACATATGGATTTCATCTATCACTAGTCTCTTTATACTATACTTGTGCCCTTTATACCTCATTACAGGTCAGATTTTCTTAACTTAGAAAAGAAGATGGATGTTTTAACTGCCTTAGCTTCCTTACTCGGAATGTGAGGCTAGTGTCTCGGGTCGATCGATCTAGCGTTCCCACACCCGTGCGGCCTTAGGAATTTCTCCCCAAGTAAGCCTTCCCACACTCACACTCACAAGAACTTTAGAGAGAGAAACTCTAGAGAGAGAAGCTCTCAACTTTGTATTGCTTCTTGAAAATGAGAGATGATAAAATGAGGGGAGGAGACCCCATTATATACAAGTATCGGGCTGACCGTATCCGTAGATCTCAACGGTCGAGATCGTACTCTCCCAACTACCCCACCTACCGCATTTATTACGGAAGGGTACAATTACCGTATCGCCCGCCCCGGAGTATTCTAGAAGACATCAAGAAAACCCTAGTACTAGAACACTCGGGGCCCGCCTTCTCGTCCAAGGGTCGGTCACGGTCCATCGTCCAGAAAACCTCAGGAACGATCCAATTCTTCGGGCCGTGACACTAGCATCTTACACATTTGTACGAAGTAGCGAATTTAGAATTTCACGTGGTCAGCCCACTAGGTTTCAGTCAGTTTCTTTGTAGTAATGAGTTAATTGGTCCCTTTCATCTGATCGCTTTTGTTTACATTGAATCTTTACTTTGAGGTATACATGCTGCCATGGAATCTGATTTTTATACAGGGTTTTGTAACCAATGAAATTGAAAAAAAAAATTCTACGAGAAAATATTGAAGCTGTCAGTTTTTTTGATGAGACAAGTACCAACAAGATATCTCTGTCTCCCATTGACAAATAAAAATTGCACATAAGCAGTTGTTGACTTATTTGAACTGGTGACAGATTTGTACTTGGTGAATATTGTGCATATATATTGTGGGTTTGTTCGTCGGATAGGCATTTGGATTAAAGAAATGATGTGTCTTGATAGGAGCTTGTGTCTTCTATTTCTGTATGATTATATGGGTGAAGTGCAAATTTTAATGATACATCCTTGGATGCAGATTGTTGACAAGCTCCATTGGTATGCTCGGGATGGTGACATGGTAAGAAACGTAAAGCTTAGTAGTTTGTTTCCACTCTTGATGCTTGAGATTTTAAATTTAGAAGATCATGCTGATCTATATGTGATCGGCAATATGATCGGTGAGGTTCCTCCTGAGGGATTGAAACTCTGAATTTCTTCGCTTGAGCTTATATTTCTTCAAACGAATCTGGCAATCATCACGTACCCTCGTGTGAATAGTTATCTTTCAACAGTCTTTGCCATAAAAGGAAATCTGCTTCTTACACTTTTTCCCCTTCTTTGGCTCTGTTCGTGCGACATTTTGATGTCACTCATCCAACTCATAAAAATTGCATTAACAGATTGTTGACTTCTGTTGTGGGGCTAATGATTTTAGCTGCTTAATGGCAAAGAAGCTTGAAGAGACTGGAAAGAAGTGCTCTTACAAAAATTATGATATATTTCCACCAAAGGTAATTTACACATGCTACCTCGTTTCATTAAGTTTTATGTGTGAAAAATGTTTTGGTTGTCTTTGCAGACGGTTCTGCAGCATGGCTATTTCTATTTTTTTGGGATATTTTTAAGGATGGTTTTTTTGTTACTATTGTTAGTAAGCTCGTGTCTAGGGGTTGTTCACTTGTTTCACTGGGAGGAGGTTGAGGGACGTAGAGTTTCTTTGTTCCTGTTCCAGGGTAGTAAAGAAGACACAATTCCTTAGATTGTGGAATGGAAATATAGGGTTGCCATAGTTATTGAGTATAGTATCCAAGGTTAGACTAGGTTGGCTATGAAATAATTGTTCTGTCTCAACTCTCAAGTATCTGTTTGTATAAGTCATCGTGCAATTTGTTCCAAAAAGCAGTAGTTTCATTCGGGATGAGATACAATATGTGTTGTAATACAATAGAGTCAAACAGTGTGATTGCATAGCTCATGCAAGTTTCTTTTTTCTTTGTATTTCCTAGTGGTTTGAAAAGGTCAAATCAGGTTTGGGATCCTATAGTATTTGGTTCTAGGATATGCTGACAGTTTTTGGAGGAGCTACGGAACAAACAACACCTGCAAATCTGTGGCTGGTTATGTTTGAGGATTGGTCAAAGAGGTTTTGGAGGAAGCTTCTAAGGAGCCTTGGTAGTCAAAGTAAGAGATACAAAAAATTTAGGAAAAAAAAGTAGAGGCTAGAGTTAAGAGTATTGGCATAAGAGCTAGAACTTAAAGAAATAGGTTGGCACAGAAGGAAGCTTGTAATGCGAGCTGGAGCACCAGGAAAGCGTTCCCAAATGCGAGACTTTAAACCCGACTGAAAGATGAATTTTGGATGGGAAGGTACTAACATATTTGTGAAACAGGATATTCGAGATAAGAATGTGTCGATGAGTGTGTGCGCATTTGATGATGGAGTTAAAACGAGTATATTCGTAGAAAAAAGTTTGTAGTGGCTCTAATGAGGATTAGACCAGATAACTTTGCTTCAGATGTTCTTGGCATATGAGTGGAAGGGGCTATGGAACAGACATGAATATCTGGGACAGATATGCAATCCCACAAACATGGCCATTTCTAGGCCTTAAACAAGGGACTGCCTTTTAGTCTCCAGAAATTACGAATTCATGCCATGAAACTTTCAAGTCTCAGAAATTTCTGATTTACAAGATCTGCAGAGTGGCAAGTGGAGAACAGACTCATGTAATTAATTCACCTTATCAAGCTATCAGTGCAACTCTAATTTTCTAAGGACATCAAACCCCTGATAGAAAGACATAGGAGATGTGTATACTATAGAGATTATCCAAACTCAGTTTCATTCTAGAATTGAAGGATTATATCCTTATATAGTTGATGCTAAGGGTATTACAGACCTTTAACAACACAACCATAGACTCAAGCAGTATGCATCTTTATAAGATGCTCTTACAAAGCACACTGACACATACTTTGGCGAAAGTTGGCACACTTCTTCTAGCAGTACAATAATTCACAACGAGAGGTATGGAAAATCACTGTCAGACGAGAGGACATCTTCGGGATTGTTCTCATTAGCATACCTCCAGCGTTTCCATCGTTTCAGGTCTAAAGCTAGCTGTAGCCTTTCTATGTTTAGAGAATCTGGAGATGATTTGTTGTTGCTAGTGCTGGCATCGGATTCTCTTTGAGGAGCATTGGATTCCCTGTGAGGAATTGTTGGTTGCGGCCAGTGGGCTATATTCTGGAGATCAGAGGAGGGGCCGTAATTCCATGGTCCTGAGAAAGTGGTCCACCCCAAGGGTCCTAGGAAGACGACTGTTGTTGAGGAGGCTGCAGAGGTTGAGGTGGCTGTACAGGCTGAGGAGGGTTATTTTGCATAAAACTCTGATAAGGCTTGTCTGATAGCATCTCTAGTTGGTTCATATGCCTGCCTATAATCCCATAGTACTTCTTTTTGGAATGCATTGGGCCAGATTTCTTTAGGAACAATGTGGTTCTTTTTGCTTAATATCCTCTGAATTTCTCTGTATTCAGAGTCGGTATCTGCAATGCTGCATCCATATGACCTGTACACCATTGCATAGGAGGATGGAGTGTTGAGGTAATCGAGCTTCAGAGTGCGAGGAGCAATGAATCTTCCAGATGGTGAAAAATATCTCCATGACCTGCTTAGCAGGGCATGTAGATTCAGGAGGACTCATGTAGCCTACCTACATGCGTTATTATGTCATACTTTTGAAGTTATAATTTTAAGTGTGGAGTAGACACACTGTGAAGTTGGTTAAAGGAAATTGGTACCAAAATTTGGTAAGAAATTGCTGGATCGTGGTTTGGAGTGTGTTTGAAAGCTTAGCCAACCCGTTAACTATGAAATATGGAGGAGGAATAGGCTGTCTATAACCATAAATGAGTACATGTAAGTTGTTGTAAGTCAGGCGCAGTTACCTACTTTCTCAGCCTTGTCCCCATTGCTCCCACTTTGGTCTCACCACTTTGGTTATGCTGGAGCTTTGAAATCTGAAGTAATGACAATTTTGCAGGATGTTGTTGCTTCTGATGCTTGTCTGAGAATCTTGAGCATGCCAACATAATTTGAGAACCTTTACTAGTGACCCGTGCACTTAGTGCGCGCGCGCGCGCGCCTTTTGCTCATGTTTGCAGGGGGGTCCATTATTGGGCGAGCGAAACTTCACTGCTCTGTTTGCATCCTTGGATATTTGAGGAGATATTTTGTGTCTGCTAATTTCTGGTCGAGGAAGAAGCCTAGTTTACATTGAGGCACACGCGACTGTCAAATAGTTGGATGATATGGAACTTTAGTCTGTGTCTGTTAAATGCAATATGCCTGTTGTTTAGAAAATAGGTTTATTTTTCATGTTCCTCATTTGTTTTTGCACTTGCAATTTGTTAGAGATTCTTCTCGATGCCTAAAGGTTGAAATAGGGAGTCTCTGTTAGGGTCTTTCCAGGCTGTGGCCTGTGGTAACCAATTTTTTTAAATTTATCATTGCTTTGAGCAATTCATTTTCCATTGCATGCCATGAAGAAGAATATTTGGTCGACTTAGCATTTGCTGGTAATGCTGGTGTTGCTATGATCTCTGTGAAATGTGCTTGCTAATTGAACCTGGACTTGCCTTCGTGTAAGCCTGGTTTTATATAGTTTTTCCTCCTTTTGATTGTAGAATAACTTCGAGTTTGAACTAAGGGACTGGATGACTGTCCAACTAAAAGAGCTACCTTATGGATCGAAATTGGTAAGAGGCAGAGTTTTGCTTTACCTTTCTGCATTTTGGTTGGGTGTGTTGGCCCTTTTGCTCGCTCCCTCCCCTCCCTTCCTCTCTCTCTGAACATATCCATGCGTTGTTGAATGTTTTATCTTTCTATTATGTTGCTTCCTGAGTAGATCATGGGGCTAAATCCTCCTTTCGGAGTTAGAGCAGCTTTGGCAAACAAGTTTATTGATAAAGCTCTTGAATTCAAACCAAAGCTCCTTATTCTGATTGTTCCATCAGAAACTAAAAGGTAACTACTTTACTTTGAGCCCTCTCTGTTTTTTTTATGCAAATACTTAAATCTAGTGGTGTGTTGCAGATTAGATGAGAAAAAGTTTCGGTATGATCTGGTGTGGGAAGACAATCAATTCTTGTCTGGAAAGGTGAAATGGGACATCCTGTTCAGCCTTCTGATTATATGTTTGCATCTGATGGATTAACTGTAACCTTTTCATTTTCAGTCATTTTATTTGCCAGGGTCTGTTGATGTGAAGGATAAACAAATTGAACAGTGGAACAATAAGCCACCGTTGCTGTATCTATGGAGCCGGCGAGATTGGACTGCAAGACATAGGACCGTAGCTCAAAAGCAGGGTCACTTGCCGACGAAGAGTAAGAGGCCACAGTCAAACGATGACTGCAATGGATCACTGGATCTTCATTATCTGAAAGATGACCGGAGCCTTTGCATCGGTACTTCGTCACATACAAGTGATACCTCTGTGCCAATGGGTAGGCCTGAAGAAACCAAAGACAGAGTCAATATGGCCGAAGGTCAAAAAGGGCGTTTTTTACGAAATGACAGCGGGAGAGAAAGCAGGGAGAGCCAGTCTACCAAGACTTCTGCGGGGAAGACCAATGGTGTAGGAACCAGTGGAAGAGAAAGTTTTGAGAAGTCACCTGCAAAGGAAACACCTCATCATCTCTTGCTCAAGTTGACAGATGGGAAGTTGTCATTCAACGATCGGTCCTGTAAGCAAAAGGCCGATGGTAGCAGAACACGTGGAAGAGAAATTGATGAGAAGGATCTACCTCATCGTTCCTCACCCAATTTGACGAATGGGGAGTCTTCATTCAATGATCGGTCCTCTAGGGAAAAGGCAGGTGGTAGAGGAACACGTGGAAGAGAAATTAACAAGGGGCCACCAGCAAAGGTAAGCTCTCGTCGTCCCTCACCCAGGTCATCCGTCAATAACCGATCCTCAAGGTCGCGGGAAGTTCCCTTTGAGAATGATGTCAATGACATGAATTATCAACAAGCTGACCCAAGCTTGTCACATGCTGAGAACGTTTATGGTGGGCGAGGAACCACTCTCTCTGAGGATGCCAGCAGGATGTATGGACTAAACAACAATAAATACTATTCAACTCAGAGATGGTCAAGTGGTGGTGGTCCTACCAATTATGGGGCTCAGAACTTGGAGAGACCGTATACGGCTCATATGAGGGACACTGACAACTACAGACCCAATGTCTCTGAACCCGAAGATAGATACTGGAGGGTCCGAGAGATGCGTTCGCAGGTCCGTCTTTATGGTCAGCAAGATCCAAATGCATCTCAAAGAAATTACATGGCAGGTCATGATCCCGGGTACGGCCAGCTAGGGCCCGCGACATCTAACTATGGACTCCTGGGTTCCATCGCCGAATCGTCCCAGCGAGCCGACATGTCTGCGATGCAACGATATGCTCCCCGTTTGGATGAACTGAATCCAATGAGAATGAACAATGCGAGGCCCGAGGCACCTGCGATTCGTGGAAACGGGTATCTCGATCCTAACAGGGTACCGCAATTTGGATACCAAGGTGACTCTTTTGGCTTTGCTACTGGTCCTCGTCGGCCGTACTCTCAACAGAACTCTTCCGGCTGGCTTAATGAATAAGTGCTTGGATGTTTGCTTCTTCCCGTTCTCCCTCTTTCTAGATTTCAGACGGTTAAGTGTGAACAATATTTTTCATGTTCTCAACGGCAAATCTTATATAATTTTAGTTCGGAGAAGAGGGCAAGTTTTTCACTGCATGGTTCTGATATGTGATGGTCTCTAAAGTGTGGGTGACGCTTGTGAAATGATGCAAATTTTTGGCTCTAAGCTAGTGGCAGCGTGGAAGTGGAACGGTCGGCTACTTCTGCTTCGACCTGATCAAAACTTAGTTTCCACATTCAAGAGTCAAAAGGGTGACAACTGGTCACGATTTTCTCACTGCCTGGTCCCAACTGGCGTCCTGTGTGGTGTTGACTGAGCGGAGGTGGTCCTTTGGAACCCAGAGATGCCTCCCTGTCCTATAAAATAAAGCGTTTGATCCATGTTTTTATATTGAATGTGATTTGGCCCGCCGGATTCAATAGCCAAGAATCTGGCTGCACTAGCAGTTGGCGCACGCCTTTTCAGCTGTCGTCTTGCACTGTACCATGTGAACCTGCTGCTCCCATTTCTTGATCCTAACATAAGACCCAGCCAAAACTCTAAAATCCCATTTCTTCGTCGACAACGACCGACCCGGCAACAGTCGTCCATTGCCCGAACCCCTCCGAAAGAAGAAATGAACCAAGAAGCAGAAGAAGAGCTCAAGAACTTCATCCTAGTATGGACCTCCGCCCTCGCCGCCCTCGCCTACTCCTACTTCGCCTCCTCCGCCGTCCCCCGCGGCGCCCTCCGCCTCCTCTCCCTCCTCCCCGCCGTCCTCCTCCTCTCCTTCCTCCCCCTCCGCCTCTCCTCCTTCCACCTCGGCGGCCCCACCGTCTTCTTCCTCGTCTGGCTCGCCAACTCCAAGCTCCTCCTCCTCTCCTTCCACCTCGGCCCCCTCGCCGACGCCCCCGGCCTCCTCCACTTCCTCTCCCTCGCCTCCCTCCCCGTCAAGGTCAAGCCGCCGCGTGAAGACAAGAAAGCCCCTGGAAAATCCCCGAAATCCGCTCTCGCTTCGGTCCGACTCGCGGTCAAGGTTTTGATTCTGGTTTCGGTTCTTCGCGCCTACGAGTACAGGCCTCGGTTGCATGAGTACGCGATCCTCGCGCTCTACTGCGTCCACATGTACCTGGAATTGGAGCTCGTCCTCGCGATCTGCGCGGTCCCGGCTAGCGCCGCCCTAGGGCTCGACCTCGAGCGGCAGTTCGACGAGCCCTACCTCGCGACCTCGCTGCAGGACTTCTGGGGCCGTCGGTGGAACCTCATGGTCAGCAGCATACTCCGGTCCACCGTGTACGACCCCGTGCGGCGCCGCCTCGCGCCCCTCGTCGGGGCGAGGCCGGCCTCCCTCCCGGCGACCGTCGCGGCGTTCGCCGTCTCCGGGGTGATGCACGAGGCGATCTACTACTACATCACGCGGGCGAGGCCCACGTGGGAGGTGACGTGGTTCTTCGTGTTCCACGGGATCTGCGTGGCGGCGGAGGTGGCGGCGAAGAGGTGGACGGGCGGGAGGTGGAGGATGCACAGGGCGGCGTCGGGGGTGCTGACGGTGGCGTTCCTGGCGGTGACGGGGGTGCGGTGGTTTTTCCCGCAGCTGACGAGGAATGGCGTGGACGAGAAAGTCATAAGGGAGTGCTACGCGATGTTTGACTTCGTGAAATGCGAAGTAACTCGGTTCGTTTTCCATATAAAAAGCGAATTTGTGTGAGAATTATTGAAGCTGCACGAGAGTTTCTTTTTTCTCCTTTTTCACTTTCTGCTCGAAATTTTGCGGATGCCAATAGCAATTATAGCATGATTATTTCCCTACAAAATAGTGTAGTTAAAAATCAAATCTTCCCCTGTACTTCCCTCTCTCTCCGCCCGAAATCTAGTGGTCGCCGGCGCCCCACAGCCGCCACACCTTTGACCACTGTAGTCACCGGCCACAGCAAGCGTCACGTCGGCGACATGATTTTACCTACATCTACTGTTCTTAGGCATGATTTAAGGCACACTCTCTTATGTCCATCACCTCTGTGTCTTGCGGTGCTTGGTGGTCCCTTGTCAAGCTCGTCGCCGTCGACGGTGACTAGTCTTCAGATTTGGCGATCATGCCTCCAGATCTGGAGGCCCCTCCGCCACTATAATGATGGAGGGTAGGTCGCTTTGGGAGGCCGGGGGCTCAGGGGTGGGGGTGGTTGGAGTTGAGAGATAGAGAGGGAGGGGGAAGAGGTATGGTTGGCGACGACTCGGTCTAATTGGGTGGTAGCTATTGGAGGAAGGTTTGTGTGGGAGGGTTGATCTGATGGGAGGAGGGTTAAGAGAAATCAAACATGTGGCGTGATCTCGTGAACAAGAAAGCGAGCGGATCCATTGAATGAGACGCGCGAATTTACACCCTGAACAATAAAATTGACTCTAATTTGCCTACTTTAAATTCAACTTCATTATTATTCAGTCCAATTCCAACGGAGGAGGGTCCACTAATTAGCAACTCACTTTCGCTTCTACTTCATATGTCCATTGTGCGGAGTTGTGTTTGCTTTCAGGATTATTCTATGGGTAAAAGACTTATTTGCCAACGGATGGACAAAGAGTCGAGAGAGGTAAATTGTGCCGATCGGATAAGTAATGCAATTGAGGCGATAGTTTAAGCTCGGAATAATCTATGCAAACACAGATTATCATTCGAGGATAATCTCTCCCGCTAAGTCATTACCCGATTTCAATGTGTTTCCAAGCAACCAAATGGAATCACGAATTATGGGACAACACTAACCCATACGCTTAAAATTCCAAAGCGCATCCGTAACACGACATGTTCATCTCCTTAAGCCAATTTCCACGTGCCAAGTGGTACGAATCCTCGTACGTTCTCTCAACGACGGCAGCTTTGTTCGGATGATCGAATCCCCTTGAAAATCTCTCCCACAGAATAGGTAGGTGTCCAAGACAATCGAAATCTCCAGAGAGCCCAAGAGCCCAAACACTCACTCTTTTCTGGGCCTGTCCCTGATCTGGCCTGCGCAAGCTTGTTCCTTCCCAGTGCATCTCGATCCCTTTCGTCTGGAGCGCTTAGATTCTGCATCTGCGGGTGATCCTCCCGATCGCCAACCGGAGCTTCGGAAATCCGAGTAAGAATTCTACAGTCCCTCACCTCGTTTCTTGATTCGTTTCTTTAGCTGAATCTCGGGCTCCCTGTGAAAACGGAAGACATCGAGCTCAGGTTCGATTTGTTTTTGGTGCAGAGGATATTTTCTCTCAACGCGATATAGAAATCAATTGTAAACCATGGGATTCGTGGTCACGAGCCTGATTTTTACGGTGATTGGGATTCTTGCGTCCCTCTGCACCAGAGTTCTCTGCAACAGCGGACCATCCACGAATTTGTATGTATCCTCTGCGTTTAGGCTTTTCTTTTTTCTTTTTTGCGAGTGTTCATCTCTTCCTTCGCAAATATTGTGTGTTCTAAGCAAGTCTACTAGGATCTAATTGGTCTAGCTAGTTCGTTCTCTTGCTTCACGAATCGCTGCATTATAAGCAAGAGCAATGCTATTTATATGCACAATTGGCGACTCTTTGGCATTGAAAAGGACCTTATCACATAGCATACTAATTGTATAGACCAGCTCTCTTATAATATGAGCAAGAGTATGTGTTATTTCATGAGTAAATTGATCCTGGGAAGGGATCCCCTCCGCCTCGTCCATTGTCATCATCTAATATCAATTATTAGCTGTCCTTGACTAACTTTTGAATCATTCGATCGGAACGGTAAATAGAATCGCGGGCAAATGGTAATTTTTTTTTTTTTGCGGCTTGCTGAAAACAAATAAAGAAGGTGTCTTCTTGACTGCACGCTTTCACTTCCAGTATTGGACAAATGGCTCTAGCTGCCGTCTTTCACTGGTCACTCTTTGAATTTGGATTTTGTCGTTACTATGGCTGCAACAGCGATAATGTGGCTATATGAATTGGCTGCTCAGTTGTGCGCGCTTTTGTTTGATTTCACGGTTGTTCTATTTTAATGTGAATGCTATGCCATGCACTTCTGAGATTTACAATGCTTCAAGAGCCAGCACCATGCAATTCTTAGTACCTGGTGTAACTTTGCTAGTTGGGGTTTTCCTATCAATGTACACATAATTGATGTCTTGATGCTGCTTTGAGCATTCCTTCTCAGACTCCTGCATAGGGCCTTCAATTAAAGTTGACACTGAATTTGTATCGCAGGTTCCTCATCACATTGGTTATTACAGCTACAGTCTGCTGTTGGATGATGTAAGTTTTGTTGTGATCTGCAGATCTCGTTAGTCTTTCTTTATAATTCATTAACAATGAAATATCTAAATTTCCTTGGTATACTCTTTGAATAAGATTCTTCATTCCAGTGTGTGTTATCCTCGACAAATACATAGATGTTATGCACCAAATGAGAGTGTGTGACTTACATGATGGAATGTTGGTGGTGCTGACTCGGTTTGATTATCTGTACTTCTGTCAATACTTGTGGGATCTCATTCCAGATTTGTGCTGGGTTCTTCCAGTGCCCGTGAATTGTACGTAAAAAAGCTTATGCCAGGGGTTGTCATCTGAGAAACGTTCCATTTGTCAAAGTAAATACATCGAGCGCTATAGTTTATCGCTGGATTCACCGCCCATGACAGTATGTGTGTTGTGTTGTTTGTTATTCACCTGTAGGAAGATCCTAAGTTTTATTCATAGTATGTGACGACGCATGTCCTCGTTTTTTTTTGGCCAAAATGGATCAAGTGAACTAATCACTTTTGCACCCTGACTCTGTCCTGCTTAAGCTGGAATATCCCAACTTCCAATATTTATTGTGAATGATTTCTTGAGATGCATAACTATTAAAATGAAGAGAGCTCTTTCCGGCAAAGAATTATTAGCGCAGGTTGTTGATGTCGAATCGGTGAATTGTAGATATCTTCTACATACATACATACACACGCGCGCGCACATATATCACCACTACGGTAGTGCATGTTGAAGCTGTCAAAGAGGTGAATATGGATATGTAGCTAGGTATATGCATCTGTATGTTCTGTTTTCATCATTTATCACACTTATATTCTACATTTGTTTTGTAGGTGGGCAATTGTATATCTTGCGCAGATGAAACCTCTCATTGTCCCAATTCTGAGTGACGGGGAATGAAGTGCTTCCCGCTTGACTAGTGTTGTAGGTGATGCACCGGCTACTGTATTACATATTTTTAGGCACAAGGACCATTCAATATTTCCTTGGACGAGTATGTAAATAATGTTGGCAGATCCTCTGTTGAGTTCACATGGATTGACTGCCTGAATATCTCAGCCTCGATGTGTTTATATGTTCATATGATATTGATGCAACTTTACCCGTATGTAAGAAGAATAAATACAGATGTTGTACCCATTAACCACGCAGAAGTGTTATGTCCCTTTTTACCACCATGGAGGTATGTCATACTTAATAACGTTTACTTTTTGGGGCTTCTTAATACTTTCATTATGCTGGCTATCGAAAAGTTGATGCATAGTGTCTTCCTACTGGCTACAGTTTTTATACCGCCTTTCTCACGGAACCATAAGTGGGTGTTACCGCTCATACGGATCCCAGCCAGCAAGCAAATAGCCTTCCTAGCAACATGATTATCATAACCGTTATTCGTGATGTGGCTCTCTAGAGATTCAACAAAAGAAAATGACTTGAGGGATTTCGGAAGCCGAGCTCTTATGCTTAAAAGTACTGACAATCTAGGAGGAAGAAAGAGGCAGCACCATACTCCAGGACCTTTTTACATAGAGCAGCTACAGGTCATTACAAATGCCATGGAACAAAAGCTAGACTTTATACTCTGTTGCATCTTTTTCGTGCAGAATCAGTTTGTTCTCGAGTTCAAAACAAATCAACCCGCTTTCTTTTGGTCCCATCCAATGTTGTCCGATCTCACGCGGAAGAGACACAGAGAGTCAAAAACGACTTGCGTGGCGATGAACTTCCCAAAACCAAACGGTCAAGCGACAACACCAGCGAACCACATCAACCTATGTAATCGAGAAATAGGAAGAACATCAATAATGACGTGGCATCAGTGTAACTAGGAGGTCTGGCTTGGATCTTTGGTCGGTGGTTACATCGATAACCTCACCAAATCAGGGATAGTTTCCTATCAATAAGGGCCATTTAGGTTTGTCCTCTAGCATTTCTTAGTTTAATGTGTCAGTGCTCGCAAGCCGCGTCTCTTTATATCTTTATCTTACTTTCTTGTTGTTTTATGTCCAAAGAATGCCGAGATTCACTAGAAATTTCAAATGAAACGGTTTTACCTCTAATTACTTAGAGGTTCCCACGTCAACTTATGTAATTGAGAAGTAGAGAGAACACCGGTAATGACGTGGCATCAAGAGGATCCCACTCAAATCTCGTACCCCATTGCGCTCTCTCTCTCTCGCAGTCCACTTCCCACATATCCACATCCGAAAATCGAAAAGGAAAGGGGAATATGGTGAGAATTTGCTAATTCGCTAAAACCCTAAAAACCTCCCTCGTGCGCTCTTCTGTGCAGGAGGAGAGACCGAGAGAGTGAGAAAAACAATGGCGTCTTCAGTCCAGCTGACCAATCTCAAAGACCTAATCTCGCCGCCCCTCCGCCGCGCCACCATCTCGCATTCCATCCCGAGGGCGAGCTTCTGCTCCAGCGCCGGCCAGAGGAGGAGGTCCCCGTGGAGGCGGAGCCGCGCGAACTCGGCCGGCGCGAGCTGCTCCTTCGTGCCCACGGAGTCGGCCAAGATTAAGGTGGTCGGAGTCGGCGGCGGCGGCAACAATGCCGTCAATCGCATGATCGGAAGTGGCCTGCAGGTGAATCCTCGCTCTCCTTGTCGCGCTTTTGGTGGCTTTCGTATGGAGGTTTTAGCTGGTGCTTTTGCTTCTCCTGGCAATTTCTTGTGGTTCGTGGTCGCGTGTCGTGGTTTTCCTTCATAGTCGTCGTTTGTTGGCCGCATTTGCTGTTTTACTTCTTTTCTCTTAGCAATGGTTCCCTACAGTTTTGGCCATGGTCTTCTGGCTTGAGCTGCATTTGCTGTTTTACCTTGCGATGACCTCCTCTTGACTCAAGTCGTGGAAGTAGCACTAAAGTTCGTGTTGTTCTACTGCTGGTGTGTAGGGTGTCGACTTTTACGCCATAAATACGGATTCTCAGGCATTGCTACAGTCCGCAGCAGAGCACCCCCTACAGATTGGAGAGCTCTTGACTCGTGGATTAGGTCTGCTTCTGTCCCTTTCAACCTGAAGAATTCCTTTTCAGGTTTTGCTGTCCTTTCATTGTGATATATAACATGCATTCTCTGGGTAATTTGTATGGATGTTTTCTTGTACATATAATACAGAGGTACTCATAGATAATAAATGTACAGCTATTGTTATACCGTGATCTGGGCATAACATGGGGTTGCGAATTAAACAGTATCACACACGTAATGATCTTGATGGACTGTTGGTTTTCTAATTGAAATCCATGGTAGAGCTGCAGGTACGGGAGGAAACCCAACTTTGGGAGAGCAGGCAGCGGAGGAATCAAAGGAAGCCATAGCCAATGCTCTTAAAGGGTCAGATCTTGTGTTCATAACAGCCGGTATGGGTGGGGGAACCGGATCTGGCGCTGCTCCGGTTGTTGCCCAGATATCCAAGGAGGCTGGTTATCTCACTGTTGGGGTGGTTACCTATCCTTTCAGCTTTGAAGGACGTAAAAGATCTCTGCAGGTTTGTCTTGCTGTTCTGTCCACTACTGACAGACATTCTTTCTTTTTTAGTCATTGCAGGACATATGTGATAAGTAGATCAATGACGATTTTGGTTTGGTTATTTAGTTTTTGTCTGGGGTATAATGAAAAATAGAGGGAAATGTGGGATGAGAAGAGAGGAGGCCTATGTGGAACATTTCAACCTCTTCTTGTCTGTATCTTTTTTTATTGAAGGTATTTCAAATTGTCAGTATGGAATTCAACAAAATCTTTTTATAGAGAAATGCCCCGGGAAACTGCATGTGCTACTGTTTGGATCTGACCTCTGGAAGATTGCGGAAACCCATTTTATATCTATGGTTAATAGATGCAACAAGGGTAGCCAAATCCATAGCACGTCTTTTAGCTAGAGTAGACTTACAGCTAACAAGTTCTTTGTTGATAATACTCTAGTTTTTGTGAAAGATTCTGTTATTAATAAACTATTTGGGTCTTTTTGTTGTATTTCGTCATCTTATAGATCTATGGACGTTGTTGATTGTTGAGTTCCAATTTTTTGGAGATATATATATATATATATATCATTAAAAGCTGGGTTTGCTCTTCAGCTGATATTTTTTTTTCTCCTTTTTCCAGGCATTAGAGTCTATTGAGAAGTTGCAAAGGAATGTGGACACACTAATAGTGATTCCAAATGATCGTTTGCTTGACATTGCTGATGAGCAGACACCCCTACAGGATGCTTTTCTTCTTGCTGATGATGTCTTACGCCAAGGGGTCCAAGGAATTTCTGATATAATCACGGTGAGTGTTTCATTGAAAAATCAGTCATCATGATGGCGAGCAGTCAGTTGAATCAGTAAATTGTTATCACAAGACACCTGATTGCTGATACACTGAAGAGTTAGCTCATAATAGCCCATAGTGATTTTGGATGGGTCATGAACATCTAGGAGCTCATAGGAGTTTGATCATACTTTTAGAATAGTGTTCTCGCTAGCTGGAGACTGGATGGCACTGTTGCTACCAGGTGGTAGGTCATGGGAATTGATTATTGTGGTCTATGTTTTTTATGACATGTTATGAGCATACATGGTTGATCGTGTGTCTTACATACTCATCACTGATGAGGATTGCTACATTATTACGTACATTGGGTTCTCATTGTACAGCCAAATGGTATGAAATGTCGTGTAATCTGCTCGGAGACAGTAGTGTATTCAAACTTTTCCTGTGTTTCCCATGTGCAGATACCTGGACTTGTAAATGTGGATTTTGCGGATGTAAAGGCAGTCATGAAGGACTCTGGAACTGCAATGCTTGGTGTAGGGGTTTCCTCCAGCAAAAATCGTGCAGAAGAAGCGGCCGAACAAGCTACATTGGCTCCTTTGATTGGATCATCAATTCAATCAGCTACTGGAATTGTCTATAATATCACGGGAGGGAAGGATATAACCTTGCAGGAAGTTAACAGAGTTTCTCAGGTACGAGTTTACAGATTTCACATTTTTCAAAGCAATGCACTCAAGTGTGTTTTTTGGATTACAATGTTGCTAACAAAACTACCTTATTCCCTGAATTTTTGTGTAGTAAATAATCTTAGCCTTGGAAGAACTGGAAAATTTCTTTACTTCACTGAAGTATTTGCTTTTCTGTTGCTTAGAAAAAGTTATTCACCAAACACTCCTCTGAATGATTTAAGTTATATATTTTGAGGTCGACTAGTGAAATATTATGAATTAAATAACTGTTCTCAAGGATTTTACAGAATCTTTCCTTTTGCTGCCTTATGTGGAAGACTGGCATTTTGGAGTCTGAACAATATATATGTTATTTTAAAAGAATTGAAAAAGGAATAATTTCAAATGCCATCGTGAATTTTCGCTTTGATGACGCTTCTCTTTCTTTACAATGAAATTTGCAATTTGCACCGTAAGGTTCTAGACCACACAATTCTTACTGCTCTTGGTGCAATAGAAGCTGTTTGGTCTCTCACTCCTAAACTCAGGCAGTGAGCTTCTTTGCCAAATAATATGTTTTATGTTTTTACTCTGATTAAACCATAGGAAAGTAGTGCCTGGACAAGAGAAAAATCATTGGATTGAGCCAATCTGATTATGTACATTGTCATTATGTTGATGAATAATTGTCAAGTAGTCTCCCTTGCATCTGAAGATGTATAACTGATTGCAAAATTTGGTCAAGGATCGGTAGGTTATAAATTAGAGGATGCAAAGTGTATTTCAAAGTGAAAGTCCAGAGGTTTCTCTCGTACTTCCATCAAATCGTGCAATTGCACTCATTTGGGTTCATCCTTGATAGTCAAGTGGTGATTTGCAACTTAAATTGTTTTTGGGTACTGATGGTCATGTATACATGTTCAGGTGGTGACAAGTTTGGCCGATCCTTCTGCAAACATCATATTTGGTGCCGTTGTCGACGACCGCTATAATGGCGAGATTCACGTGACAATCATTGCGACAGGTTTCTCGCAATCTTTTCAGAAGACGCTTCTCACTGACCCCAAAGCTGCCAAACTAATCGACAAAGTAGCAGCTCAAGAAAACAAGGGCATGCCTCTGCCTCTCAGGACTCCCGCCTCTCCTTCCCCTGTTAATTCCAAGTCTTCTTCGCGAAGGCTCTTCTTCTGATTAGACTAATCTTTATATTCTTTTATTTTGCGTTTTGTGTAATGTTGTGAAGCGCAATTGTGTTACCATGGGAGTTTGCATAGTCCTGTACTTCATTCATCTAATGGTTTCCCGCAAGTTTACAAATTGAAAAAATCTCGAAGTCAGCGGAGGTGTCCCATGTCGACGTCTGATAAATAGTTGATAATTGAGAGGCCACACGTCTATAATAAACTAAAATCAATTCGTACTTTGATTAGCTGGTTTTGAACTTGCCAAATCGACAGCGTGCTGTCATGCTCAAGTCGCTCACGTCTAATGCCATCTCAGCTTATCGCTTCCCGAAGTTGACAATGTTTTCATTAAAATGGTTGAGGAGAAAATTCATGCTCGTGAATCCATTATCTGTTGGAAACATCACGCCCAAAAGATGATGTGCAAGATCGCTCGCATAGACTATTTAAAGACAGTCAGATGGTCAACCAAAACGAGAGGAAAGAGATGAGGATGCGAATAATCATATATCGCTTGTGTCTAGCTGGTCACGCGCGAAATTAAAGCTAAAACCGGTCGTTCATCACATAAGAAGGCTAAGGTTCGGCTCATGTTGAAAAGGACAGGATGTGCACAAGGAAACAGGGAACAGAAAATCCCTGAAAAGAAAATCACATGTTTAATACGTTCGCCAACACAATAGCTTTTTTAAGTCTTCCAAGATTGGGCAAGACAGAGACACAAACGCATTGGATCAACAGGAGCCACTTGTCACGGTTATTATTATCATCTCATATAGCCAAAGTAACAAAACATGAGATATATATTGCTATTATGGCAGAAATTTATAGCCAAGACCACAGAAAAATAATGGATAGAACATCGCGTTTACTGTGGTTAATGTTACAGGTACTTGATTACCAAGTAAATAGCGACCACCAAAATCACAATCGCAATAACTGCTAAAAGCATGCTCATGCAGGTGCAGCTGCCCTTCATGCGCTTGTTCAATATAGCCAAGTTCTTCTGCACCCTCTGTACTCAAAAGAATTGACAAAATATTAGAAGCGGGTTAATATGAATTCCCCTAAATAGATGTTAGGAGTTGAGATCAAAAGCAAAGTCACATTACCATGCATCCATGCACAGCATACACACAGGCAACGAAACAGAAGCAGAAAGGTTTCTGGGTCAACCATATGAGATTCTTATCCTTTCAAGTCTATTGTTCAGCTTTACTAGAATCCATAGCTTCACTAGCTCATAGGCTGGCATTTAATAGGCATGACTCAAAACATTCCCCAACCCATCTGTGCAATGCCTCTCAAAAAAAGAAAAAAAAATACAAAATTTTGATGCGTATGCAATTTGTCTACAAGGGATCAGGAAGGAAATACCCGTAGACGGGTGTCTGTGACATCCACATGCTGGTCCAAACTATCCTGCAAAATCAGAGAACAAGAAACAGCAAATTTCTACTGTCAAATGCAAGGCAATGCAGCTTAATATACTAAAATATATGAAAAAATGAAGCTAAATCTACATGCTGAAACCCATGGAGTACAAAATTCAACAGAAATTACATACAATTAGTCTAGCATGCAAGTCCAGTTCTTCATTAACTGCCAAGGCAATATGTTTTGTACTTATCACCGTCTCCTCAAGCTTTTCAAGACCTTCATCTTGCTCTGATTTCAAGGAAGTTCACAGATAAAGACTTCACTTCTTCAGCAGATAGTCAAAGCATATATATAATGCAATGGAAAGCTAAGATACAATTATTGAGAAAAAGGTCATCCAGAAGTAGCAATTTGCCTTTCATAATTTGACGCTGAAGACCAACAACGCCTTGATTGTCCAAGCCAACAGTTCTGCTCATCGCATCAGCTGGCTTTGCATCTGGACCTAACAAACTATCTCTATTTCGAGAGTTTGACATGTTCAGAGCGGAAGCCATCTGGTCCTTTTTTGTTCTCAAGTTAGAAAGCATGTCTCTGCGCCTATTCATCTCTTTTTCGGATCTAGACAGAAGAAATATCTGTTATTGGAGAATATGACAATGACAAGCACCGCGTAGGTCCTGAGACCTGTGTAACGACTCCCAGATAGGAAATAATCCAATTTACCACTCCATAAAAACTCTAACGACAGGCTTGAGATGGTAAAAAGTTTCATGAGGTCGAATTAAAGGGAGAAAGCTAAAAGTAAAAAGTTCAATGACAGATGCGGCAAACGGCACAAGCCTATTGCACGACAGTTCTCCAGTAAGACCATTCACCAGAAGTGGGATGAAAGATCTATGCAGTCTTAGAAAAGACATCTCATTTTCAGATGTTCAAACTCCCAAAGTACTTGCCCTTTCATTAGTCAAGGGCTAGTGTTTTTGCAGGTCTTAGCCGCCTTATACTTGTAGACCAAACGTCATCATATGTCAATATTACTGAGTCAGTAAGAACTGCATATGCGAAAAAAATGAGAAGAAAACGGGCCTGCTCTCCAAACTTCTGACATGATAATTTAAATGGAAAACTACAGCATAACTAGGGATGCAAGCTCAGTATGCCGGCATCAAGCCATCCAACATACAGAAGGAGAGAAACCAAAGAATAAATAATTGGCGTAAAGCTAAATCCAAACCCAGACAAGCACCACCCCCTTCAGAATCGGAACATAAACCTCATCTGTGCTACTTACATAGGCCGACTGCTGGGCATCTTTGTTAGGACAGACTGCAAACTCTCCAACCTAGTGCCCAGTATCGTTATTTTCCTCCGTATGGAAGACGCGTGACGCTGGTTCTCGGGTCCCGACGAAACCAACTTATCGTGCTCGGAAATCATGCCGCCGATATCATCGGCCAACTTGGCCGCTTCATTGTATTCCTTCATCCACGAGTCCGCAGAATACGCCATTTGCCTAAACAACACAACAAAGGATCAATCAGACAATCCGGCGCATCCCGGGAGCATCACTCGCCCGACAATTATAACCCAGACTCCCTCAAACTCCATATTCTTGCACACAATCCAAAGCCACACATCTTCCCGTCTTAGGGTTTAAGCGACACAGCAAAACAATCAATGAGATTAACCCAACGAATCCAACATCGCAACCCCCTGTGGATTTTTCCAATTCGATCAAAGCCCCACACGAGATCAAACGAATTACACGTTTCCCATCAACGCGATTAGCCCGAAAAGGAACAGACGAAATTACACGAGGCGAATTCTTTCAATCCGACAAAGAATGCCGGATCATCGCTGCGATCTGCAGCTGAAATCGAGCGGATAATCCGAGACAATTGGGCGATAATCACAGAAGAAAAAGGCGTTACCTTTGATCGTAGCTTCGAGGGTCCTGCACTCTGATAAGAATGAGAGGGAATGATAAATATTGAGAAAACGAGGTGGAGGATTGACGCAGGAAGCCACCGTCCACCGGTAACTTTTCTTGTCTTGACCCCGTCGTCGTCGTCGTCTACCTCGCTCCAATTCCTTTATGGAGTACCCGACGAGTTAGGACTCCTTGCCTCGCCACACGACGTCGTTTTTGACAGCTCGATGACGAGTTATTGCTCCTCTTGTAATTCTTTTTTTTTCCTTTTTACCCTGAGCAAATTGTCATCTTTCAAAATTCCCCCCATGCTTTACGAATTCTTTTTTTTTAACCCCCTCTTAGTTGTTCTTTACTTTAATTTACACCACTCAACTACACACCTCCGATCTATCTCAATATATCGCGAAATGTTTAAATTTCATCGGAAGTCATATTGCCTTGAATCAATCGCTCGATTGCATTGCTACGCCTCCATCTTTGTTTCGTGTAATGTTCGTTCAAACACGTAAATATAATTACCAACATATGGTATTTCACATAACTTAAAAGCAAAGAAAAAATAATAGAGGAAGTTGTTGTTGGAGCCCATTGTGGACCTCGATGCTCTTTGAAGTTTTTACCCAGTGGGTGAACTTTCAAGGAAACTTCGTGGAGCTCCATGACCAAAGAAAAAACCTTTATTATGAAGACTTCTTTTGCTTGAATGTAGAGAATGGCGATTGATTATACTAACTCTAATATCTAAATAACTGAAATATAAACTAATGGATCTCATAACCGTTTGCATATATATAGATAATTATAGTAATATTGTGCTGCTTATTAGATTTTCTTAGCGTAGAGATTCTCCATTCATGATTATTATTATAATATATAATGATATAAAATGGTATGTCATTTAAAATTAAATAACTAATTGTGCATACATAGATTTTGACACCATGTCATGTTTTCGCAATTTTCATATTTTCCAAAACAATCTCACTTTTTGGGGGTAGGGCTTTTTTGATTTCATCCTCGATGAAACTTCTGGCCTAAGAAATAAACAAACGAGGAAAGAGGGGCGGAGGGAAAAGGGGTAAGAAGAAGAGCGATACAACAAGCGAAAGCGACGTCGTTTTGGCGGAGTCCGCATCCATCCCTCGCACTCCAGAAACCCAAATCAAAATTTCAGCTCCTGCAAAATCTCTCTCTCTCTCTGGTGCAGAGGGGATCAGCTATGGCGAGCGAGCAGGAGCCTGCAAAGGTGCTGCTACCGTATCTCCAGCGAGCCGATGAGTTGCAGAAGCACGAACCTCTCGTCGCTTATTACTGTATACGCCTCTCTCTCTCTCTCTCCCCATCTAACCCTAGCTTCGGAGTTTCGCCATGTCTCCGTTTCCGCGATCGCTTCCGCGCGCTGACGACGGTCGGCTGCTTCTGTTTGTATTGTTCATCCAGGTAGGCTGTATGCGATGGATCGAGGTCTGAGGATTCCGCAGACCGGGCGAACGAAAACCACCAACGCCCTCCTCAATTCCCTCATCAAGCAGCTCGAAAAGGTTTCGGTCATCGCAACCCTTATGCGAAAGCATCTCCGTTTCTTCGTGGTTCGCGTGTGTGAATTTCCGCTGGCTTTGACTATTAGATTCGTGTGCGAGCCGTGCGAGTGCACGTATGTGTTGCTTGTTTCGATGTCTGTAGCTGCAAGCGGCGGATGCATCTGTTTGGACTCCGGTCAATAGTTTCTCGTTGCGCTACTGCTTTCCCTGGTGTGGCCAGCAATTAGTCCATTAATATGTGGTCCTTTTGCAATGTTTGCCCGAGATGGTTTAGAAGGAAACGATCCCTTATTCGAATATGTACATACATATGGAATTGCAAGCACGTTCTGTTGATTCTGAGGCTCCATGCAGAGAGTGCACAGGTTGCCTTGTCTCGACGTGCTAAAATGATTTGGGATCCGCTTTGCAGCTGATTGACTAAAAAAAAAAAAAGAAAAAGATTTAGCTGCCTGTAATGCCCAAACATATTCGCTTGCTCTCGGAACAATTAATAGTAGGTATTTAGTCTAGTCAAAGGTTTAACGGTCCCAAACACGGTCGTTTTTTAGACATAAGCCAGCTTAAACAATCAGTTTCCCAACTGGTGGTTGTATTTTTTGAAGAATTTCTGTGAATGTAATTGAGACACTTTGTTGGCATAAAATTAGCACTTGTTTCTACTATTGGTCTTCACGTGTATTTTTCTGAGGCTCTAGTTTGATCCATCCTAGTGGCCAATCATCTCTATTCAATGTGCAAAATGTTTAGTACAATGGGAATTTCAAATGAGCGTGACACATTTTCTACTGGCTGAATTGAATTGACTTCGTATTATGCACGTGAAGTAATCCTTGGTGTTAATCTGGCAAGTAAATTCCGAATCAAGTCATTGGATAGATTGTTGTTAGAGTTTATGTAAAGGTAATCGTTGCAAGATTTTGTTTATGCTGCCGATTCACCTTGTATATATAACAGGTGTTGCATCAATTAGCCTTCTGTCAGTATGTCTTCGTCTTCATTTTGTTCTACTCAGAGTTTCACTTTATGCATAGCGCACATTCAGTAGGTCATTAGTTTTGTGAAACAATCAAGTAGAATATCTTATTTTATATCCAATATCCTGAACTATAACAATAGGGTAGTGGTGCAAACTATCCACGGTTTTATCGCCTTTCTCTATTGGCTTTCTTTTATGGGGACATCCTGATCTTTCTCATGCTTCAAAAACTGTCATTGTGTTTTGTTTCTCGTGTATATTGATAGGATGAGATATTCGAGCAAGCAATATAATTCTTTTTTGTCCAGTTTCCTTAAATTTGACTGATCTTGGCATTGCTTTGTTCTCATTGCTATCTATCTTGGTTGTTTAACAGGACAAAAAATCACTAACTCTGGGGCCCGAAGACAATTTGTATCTGGAGGGTTTTGCCTTGAATGTGTTTGGGAAGGCAGACAAACAAGATCGTGCTGGGCGCGCTGATTTGTATGATTAATTGAGTTTTCATTTTCGAATGTGATTTGATTGTTAACTTTAGTCTTTCTTTAAATTTTGCCTTAATTTAGTTTCTCTATGCTTTTATTCTTTCAAATAGTGAATTACATGATCCTTCTTTATTTTTTACAGCACCTCAAGCATATTAAGAAATTCCTTTAATGATTTAGAAACTGACTTGATACATAGCATTTCGTATAGATCTTTCACATGCCTTTATTTATAGTCTTTGAGGAAATCACAGTTTGAACAGAAGTAATAAGTGCCAATGCTTTTTTTTTTCCTTTTATTGTTAGGCTGGTTGATTAACAAAATCTCCTTGAATTCTTGTTACAGGAATACTGCAAAAACATTTTATGCTGCTAGCATCTTCTTCGAGATTATCAGCCAATTTGGGCCTCTTCAGCCAGATGTAAGATTTACGGTGTCTTGTGGTGTGGGTTTGATTCTTTTACATCTGCCACAGGGGGGGGCCTATTTTCTTTTTGAATATCCCCCACCCCCCCCCCCCCCCCCCCCCCTCTTAAACAATAATAATAAAAAAAAACCAACCCCCCAACATATGTAAGGGCCATTATCTTGCCCAGCCTTCCTTTTTTTATTTAGTTTTCAATTTACACATTCTTCATTTGATAAATATTATGGCAATCACGATGCACGATCTCAATTACATTTTCTGGAAATGGTTATTGGATAAGAGAAATATATTTCTTGCATAGGATTGTCTGTAATTAGAAAGAATAAAACCTCAACATCTCCAATAAGATAAAAATCAATTCATCAAATTGAAAATTCACTTGTTTTTCAGATCTGAAAAATAGGTTCGATTCCATAGTTGATTCTCCCAAAAATTCTCTGCCCTCCAGTGTTAATTCATTATTCCAGTGGAATGCTTGATCTGAAAAATAGGTTCGATTCCATAGTTGATTCTCCCAAAAATTCTCTGCCCTCCAGTGTTAATTCATTATTCCAGTGGAATGCTTGAAGCTCTGTGTTCTTGGCTATCAAGTACTTAGATGCCAAATACTGTTGGTAATTCTTTTGTGGCTTTTATTGACAGCTTGAACAAAAACAGAAGTATGCTGCATGGAAGGCAGCAGATATAAGGAGAGCCTTGAAAGAAGGAAGGAAGCCAGTACCTGGGCCGCCCTCTGGTGATGAAGATCTCTCTATACCATCAAGTATACCAAGTGGTGGATCATATGTATGTATCTTTCCTTCCTTTAATTTTAGCTAATGATTCTATTTACTGTCACAGTCCTGAATTCTTCATGAGATCTTGTTATTTCTTCCCGTGTTGTTGGTTAGTTTAGTAAATGCTGCGAATTATACTGTTCACATCCACCCCAGAGGTTGTGATATGGCATAAATTGGGAAGTGTACTTTGGTTTTTCCCACCCCCACCCCCACCCCTTCTCCATCTTGTGTTGTTTGACAGTTCCTTGTATGTAATGAGCTGTGTTTTGGGACAACATATCAGTAGTCAAGACCATGTCACGTGAGGGGTAGGCTTATTTCGATTTGCCGATATGGTTGTGGTTCACATTCAAGCATTCATTGTGGTTGTTCGCTAGATAATAGGATGGTAGTTCCTTTAGGTCCTGTCTGGTTGAAAGCAACGTTGGTTTGAGCTATTTATGATCTCCCAGTGAATTGTGTGTTTGTAACAATAGGTTTCGTTAAAATAATTTTTTTCTCGGATGAACCTCTAGCCATTCAAAGTCTACTGCATAGATTTCTAGAAGAATCTCTAGATAGAAATATCTATACCCCTTGTTGGTCCTGAGTGACGGAGGAGGCTAGGTTTGCCGTGGCAAACTAAATAAGTTTTGAAGGAAATCGTATAAGATTAAGATTGATAATTACCAGACTTGTAATGTTTGGTAACACGTGGTAACACTTTGGAACTGAAATGTAACTTTTTTGGCTTTGAGTGTTTTGTTGTAAATGACCATCGGTCTAAGCAAATTAATAAAACTAATAACATGTTCCTACCATATTAAAATTCTTCCTTATTAGAAGTTACCGAATTTTTTCCAATTCACGTCTATTTGTTAAGTTGCCTTTATGTTGGGGGTATTCATCCATTTGCATTCATTGCCACTCATTTCTGCACCCCTGTGTCAACGTGGTTGGTAAGCTCAACCAGAAGCGAAGAAAGGATTTAAATGTAGTAATAGAAGGACACTTTTCAACCCAAAGTTCTAATATCTAGCCCGTTTTATATAAGTGTCAGGAAGGGAGTGGACTGGCTTCGCTTCGCTCCTGTTAATCAAACAATGCCTTAGCAGTTTTCATTTTTAAATGCAAAGTTCGATATTGACTACATCTCTAGAGCATTAGCTTTCTCTTCTGTTTTCTCTCGTTACTTTCTTTTTTAAATTCTTCAGTATTTTCTTTTATGATTTCTGAAGCTAAACGGGGCTTTTCTGCAGCCAGCGCCTGTGATACTTATTTTCAATTGCACAATTAAGTGGTGGAGTTCATTCTCACTAATTTAGCGGTCTGAAAAGCAAATGATCCGAAATTGGGTCTACATGCATTACTGTTGGACTCAGATTGTATTTTTTTGAGTTTTGGGTTTCTTTTCTTTCCTCGTTTTTTTACCCTGGTATTTTATTTTTTTATTTGTTTTCTTGGGGGCTTGGTGGGGATTCGATTAATTATTTAGTTTCCTTTGCAGGACCTTGGGCCTAGCGAATCTGCTTTCTCCAATGCTGGACCAGAAGCTGATTCATCACCTCAGATCCATGATAAATTGGACCACCAACATCATCACTCTGCAGGCATTCCTCCATCTTCCAGTTCTTATTCATCTGCCAATTATCCATCTCATGACTTTCGGCCGCCTTCTCCTCCAATCACAAAAGCTGCGAGTTCTACTTACTCATCATACCATCCTCCAAACTATCCGCAAGAATCCTCGCACCATCCTCAAACTATCCGCAAGAATCCTCGCACCATCCTCCAAACTATCCTCAAGAATCCTCGCACCCTCCCCCAAACTATGCTCAAGAATCCTCACATCCGTCTCCAAATCGCCCTTCAGATGTGAAACAGCATTTATCGCATAGTTATCCCTCAGAACAACTGCCACAGATGCCACATAATTATCCTTCAGAACCACAGCAGCATATTCCACATACTTACGTATCAGAATCGCAACAGCACTTACCAATTAATTATCCTTCTCAGGAGACCCCTATCTACTCATATCCCCAATTCCAATCCTATCCGAGTTTCACGGAAAGTAACCTCTCATCGGTCCCATCTCAATATTCTTCGTACTACCAAGGCCATGATGCGTCCTTCCCTCCGCAGTCAGATCATCAAACCTCAAAAAATTATGCTTCAACTGCTCAGTATGGGGATGGCAACCGAAATGGGACTGCTCCAGAAGCTCCTCCTGCAGAAGCATACAAATACGACAGTAACTACCAGCCGCCACCTGAAAAAATCGCCGAGGCACACAAAGCTGCTCGGTTTGCTGTTGGGGCATTGGCATTTGATGATGTTTTCGTTGCAGTGGACTACTTGCGAAAATCTCTTGAACTGCTGACAAATCCGTCAGCAGGTCAGTAAAAAATTTAATTGCTCGCGCTACGGTCTGCATCCTGGAGGGGCTTTGATTCGCGAAGGAATGAGTAGTTAAAGGGTTATAATTTTGGTTCGGCGTGAGAATATGGGGACATTATGTGTATCTATATTGCTGGCTGCCGTCTGATTTCATGCACCAAGTACGAAGGATGCGGAATACCAAAGGGCTTTGCGAGTTTTCACATGGCTGTTCATATGGGTTTTTTTTTATGTACTCTTTTTTTGTGGGTTGCAGACGGTAAAGCCATTATTCATTTGTTTTGGCAGTTATTAAAGCCATGTGAGGCTGGTCTTGGGTCCCTTTTCCCCCAAATATAAGTATCCCAGGGTTCAATGGAGGTCGCTCTTTTTCCGTTTGGGCTCCGATTCAGGTAAATGAGCTCTCGGCAGGGTCTGTGATCCAATCCCTGATGGGGTTCGTCGCCCATTGAGCTTTTGATCTTTGGGTTTGATGATATTTGCCTGGTGCTTGCGTGAAGAATATGTTGAACCGGTCTGGTAGGACTAGGTTTATAGCCCTTATCGATGTCAGTGGTTGGGCCTGCTGGCCCTATGGATTACCTATCAAATGGACCCGTAGGCCCCTTAAAGCGCATCACTTTGGGCTTAGATATGCGGCCCTCTGGTCAATGGCCTGCAGTTTCGTCGAGCCCTGTGGACACACAACCACAATTGTCCTAGTCCCATTGATCCCTGAGGAGTACATGCCCATGGGCCTGCAGCATTAACAGTCCCTCGGGCCCAGTATTGGCCCGGTCAACACAATCCACAAGGAGGCATGTCTAAAGCGTGATGCTTTCGGCATACTTTGGGTTTAATAAGTACGAGTCGGGCCTTATCGGGCCCAAATTGGGCCGATGATTTTTTCCATTGGGTCAAAAAGGGCCTTGTTGAGGCATGGTTTATTGGGGCCCAAGTTGGGGACCTGTTGGGCTTAAATTTTTGGACCCTTTTTTTGAGCCAAAAATTGGGCCAGTTTGGGCCTTGTGGGATCATGGTTTATTGGGTACGAAGTTGGGCCCTGTAGAGGACTTATTGGGCCCTAGTTTGGGCCTTATTTGAAGCGAAAATTGAGCCAAATTGGTCTTTGGGCCGAAGTTGGGCCCTAGTTCGGAATTAATGGGCTGAAAACTCGGCCCAATAGGCCATGGTTACATATTGGGCCCAAATTGGTTATCATTGGACTATTGTTTGGGCCTTAATGGACCGAAAGTTCGGTCGGCCCAAATGGGTCTTTGGTGATTGGGCCAGAAGTAAGGCCCTGCTGAGGATTCTTTCTTCGACATTGGGCCAATGAAATAATTTTTTCCAAACTAGGTCTTGACGTTGGGCCTTATTGGGTCAGACGTTGGGCCTTGTTTAGGCCTTATTGGGCTGGAAATGGGCTTTTCTCGGGTCGTTGGCAGAGATTTGTCTGTGTTGAGAGGGCAAGTTGGGCGTAGTCGAGTTTAGAAGACCCGATGTTGGGCCCACAGATGTAATTATTATGCCCTGCTTTAGTGCTTGTTGGTATGTTCTAGGCCAAATCCAGGCCTCCATTGGGCCTTCGGACCTCACTTTTAAGTGAATACTGAGGCCAAGTCGAGGGGTTTGGGCACGACTGGGCTAAACTACATTCTCGTTGCATCGACAGATGATTTTGGGCCAACGGGCTGGGATAGTAGTCCAAAACATTGACGTATGAATTCGTCTAAAGATTTTGACCCAAAAAAAAAGAAAAAAAAAAGAGAATTTCGGCTTATTGGTACCCATGAGAATAAGGGTTACGCTCTGACTAACTTTTGCCGCGAATAAACGTACGACCTAAATTATGGCCAAAAAAAAAATTCAAAAACAAAAAGGGCTTAAATTAATAAAACTAACGCGTACAAAGAATAGGGATGGGAAAATCACCGGATAATTTCTTAAAAAACACTAACAGACCACTTCTACATATTTTACAAAAGGTCTTGGAGGCCTCCCCCTACCATAGCGTATTTCCTGCCAAATAGGGAAAAAGGCATCAGACAAACAGCCAGATCACTTATTTCAGGAATTCTTTATGAAATCTTATATTCATGCTATCAAAATAACAATGCAGCTCAGCGAAGCTTTAAGTTAGCAACAGAAGTATCTGCTCATAGCAACTTATGCACACTTCATAGGGTACTACTCTATGTTATGGTCAAGTTCCAAAACCTTGTCAGGTTAAGCCATTCCAAACCCCCACCTCGCTGGTCCCTAGCTCGTTACCTACTGCACCGCTAGACTCGAGTAACTAACATACTTCTGGGCACTCATCAGGCAGAGTTGAACAGGCTATGCTCATCCAATCATCATATCAGCAGCTCTACTGTCATAGTAGATTCAATTCAAAGGCAATACATAACAATTGCTCAAGATCAGAAGTTACAGAACCTCCTATACTGAAATTTAACTAGTCACCACCCCCTGCTGACAAGAAACTTTGTCTGCAAGGTGCAAGGCTCACTGCACTATGGCCAAGCAACCATTACAGCCGAGAGTCTCAACGGTTTATAAAAAATAATAAGTACGGTTTCTCCAAGAAGAGTAGCCTAATTCAAATTCTAACAAAATTTGTGATATATGCAAGGTGCTCAATGCATTTTCAACAACCTTAAGGATGGTATGGCATGTACATTACTGTACGAGGACCATGCACTCACCACTGGCCAAGCTGTCTGCATGCCTAAAGGATGCGTCTGCCGAACTAAATAGAAACAGCTTGAAAATGACCTTTCAGTTCATCATAAAACCAACTGCAGAACAAAATCAAGATTCACAAATCAATAAGGCAAATAAACACTGCAGTGCTATAGATCATACAATTTTTTTATTACAAGGATGCAGGTGAATAGCAAAAAAGGTTGAGCTATTTCCAAGGACAGGTTAAGCAGAGGTATAACAAATATAAGTTCATGCACCTTCAAAGTTATATATGCTCGCAAATAAGCACACGAACATATTGTTATAATCTACCTACATCCTTTCAGTTCAGATACTGGTTTTTGTCACTAATGTGATCAATATAAATTGATTGGGTATGAAGAGGTGACATCACTTGGGCTCAGTCTAGGTTTTTGTGAGTTTAAACGAAAGGAGGTCAAGGCTAGCTAGACCTGGTCTTGAATTCAACGTTATACATAGGATAATGACAGCGAGAACATTATACTATATGGATTATTAGCAATATCTTCAAGCAACTATTATGAAAAACTCAAAATGGTAAAAACTTGGGTTCTTTGTCATATTTTTGTAGGGACATGAATAAACAAATGAATATTGTTTGATTCTTTAAAAAATGTGACTGCAAACAGTCGGTTCAACAGCTGCACATCTAAAATTTAACATGGAAGATGTCTGGGTTTTGTTTGGATGCAGCGTGGTAAATGCGAATCATGCTCACAATCTCATGGGTCCAATAAGGGTGATACGCTGATTGTCAAATGATGAGAGGCCGATAAAGTTACAATGAATCATGCCCACGCCAGCATAGTTAGAAATGCATAGACGTTATGAAGAAATGTGCAAACAAGCAACAATTAAATGAATGTAATAATTAAACATACTTGCACAGAAAGAGAGGTCTCAATTTAACATTCGCTTCGCTTCCTATATGACTTCGTCTTTCAGTTTCTTCTTTATATTTGGCAGGCGGAAGAACCTCACATGGGCCTTGAATCGAGCAGGCCATTACACTACTATCACGATTAGATTCAAAAACCTGCAATTGAAGAGTAGCACACATCAATTCCAATACCTACAGTGAATCACGGTGTCAGTGAAGTACCGTGCAGCAAGACTACTGACCATACACCAGAATTTGCAACCAACCAGATTATCGAATTAACTGTACCGCTTATGGGTTTACCAAAAATCATCAGGGTCAGGTAGAAGACTACAATAACAAAATTCAAAAGACATGCACAGGAATCAAGCATGTATACTTGTTATATCCTACGGATGAATCTGCCTCTTAGAGAAAAAGTATTACCTCGTTGCTGTCAGGGACAAATGGATGAGCCACATTATTTGGCAAGTCGCCAGGAAAATAACACCTGGTAATGTCAAACCACTTCAAACCAGTTTCACAATCCTCCCACATTGCCTGCATGCAAAAAAGAAACCAGAGTCTTTCCCACGTAAAAACCAAGGAGTAGAGAAATTCAACTAGCTCTCTATACCGAATTTACTGACCATGGACACTTTCAACTACACTGCTAAGCACGTTGCAAGCTTTTAGAAACAAAGAAATTCAACTAGCTTATCATGTCGAATGTACTGAACATGGACATTTTCAAGGACACAGCTAAGTATGTTACAGACTTTTGGAAATAAGAACACCTAATTTTCCTTGGTCATACAAAGAATATATATCAAAATTTAAAAAACTGCCTTACCTGAAGTTTAAATGGTGTCAATTTGTCATTACTCAAACGAAAAAGCGCGTGCTCCTTCACTTTGTATGTTACTCCACCAACGCAGCAAGAAGAGTAAAATTTCTTGCCATTGACAACTTCTAGTGCATCACCAATCCACTCGACACTATGGGAAATATCCGAAGAGAAGCCAACACATTCTCTCTTTACAGTACTAGTTTCAGAACTCTGAACACGATTGGGCCGTCTGTCATCTTGGTCCGCTTGCTTTACATCATATGTTGAAGTAGAATCTTGATGGTCTTCTGCACTGGACTTTTCTGCATTTTTTACGGTGGAATCATTATTATCTAACATTTTAGAGGACACTTTATTGCAAATTTGCTTTTCTAAGTTGTTAACATCTGACACACCGTGTGAAGATGAAGGCGGACTAGATTCAATATTTGCTGACTCACATAAGCTAGCAGGAAGCTCTGACTTTGATTCACATTCTTGTTTATCAAAACGCACAAATGGCTCAGATTTTTTGCTGTTCTCCTTGGATCTTTCGCTCAGCAAACCAAGAGGAGAAACATAAGTGGGATCCATGGATTTCCCTGAGCTATTCATCCCAGATTCAGAAAAAGGCTTCTGATCCACTTCTTTTTTAGATGAAGAGAGATCATTCTCCCGCATTTCTGTGGCCTTTGGAATTTCCAAATCAGAGCCAGTATTAACGTGATCTTTTCCAGCAGTAAAGACAACAGCAGTATTTTGTGAGAAGGAGACACCATTCGTAGTTATCTTTGTCTGATTAAACTTTGAATCCACAGCTCTAACCTTCTTCTCAGAATATGAAGGACTACCAGTAGCATTAGGGGCCACTTTTGTACCACCTAAGTTTCTCATCACACGACCATATTTCGGGGGCAAGGCCTTCCCATGGCTCAATGCCAAGCATTTCTGGCAATGCCATTCAGCTTTAGGTATCCCTTTCTGATTCTGCGACTGCAAGCATTTCAAGTGGTATCCTTTCTCGCAAGCATCACAGAGTAACACACTTTCCACATCAGTGACAGTTGCTTGGCAAAGCTGGCAAATCAATGCCTTATTCATATACTCCCTTGAAGGAGGAGTCCATGTAGGATGCTCGGGAAGCTTTGGAGTTAAGAGCTTCTGAATAATTTTGGCAATTTCGTAGTGACTAGCATAACTTGAAGGTGGAGAAACAAAGTTGACACCCTGAAAAGGTTGATGATGCATGGTGGGCAAACGTGTAGCAGCAGTTTGCACAGTGAATGGTCTATTTGTTGGGTTTCTTGCTGCGAGAGGAGGTGCTCCAGACCCTGAGGTAGAGGCTTGCTCAACTTGGCCCAATGTATTACTAGGAATACTACTTCCTGTTCCTAGTCTAGATAACGAGGCATGTTGGGTTTGTAAGGACCAGGAAGGAGCATTCACAGATGGTTGATTTGCATAAGTTGCTGCAAGATAACAAAAAAGCATATGAACGTGGAACTTACGGCGGTTTACCTTGTGTAGCTGCAGGCCACTAAGGTATGAAAATTTACCCTTGTATCGTAAAGCAAAAGGAAGCAAAAATCTGATGGTAGAGAATTGTCAAGAATAGTAGGAAAACCACCTTGTGAAGGTTTAGTTGAAATATGAGGTCCTGCATGATTCACACTAATTGCTTGATCAACCTTGGGCAAAAGCATTGCAGAAGAATCTCTTCCTATATGACTATTAGATATCCCACTAGAAGCAGTTGATGTCCTTATTTCACTTCGTGGAAGCAGGTACGGCGCAGAGCTTCCGGAAGAAACATTAGCTGTAGCTGAAGAAACTGGGATGACTCCGGAAGAAAGGGGAGACTGATTAACTTTATCAGACGGAAACGTCCGAACAACAGGTGGCATCCCACGGTTTTCGGCAGTAGCACCAAAACTTGATTGTGACAAGTGGGGTGAATAAGAAGCTGTATGGGAAGGGAACTTCTTCGATTCTTCCATCTAGTAGAGAAGGTGCACAGATAACTCCTTTCAATAATACCACAGGTAAACATAAAAGGCGATACCTCATGTAAATAACTCATAACACCAAACATGACTAATATATCTTAGGTTTCAGGTGGTAGCGGGTAACACTAACACTCGAAAATAAGGAGCAATTATTTGCTGTTAAGATATAAACGCTGGGTGATAATTACGTATCTAATCACATGATCCCAAAGTTTTATGAGCACCTGAAAACAGTCTAGATTCCTCTTCATCAAGCTTCTACATACATCAGTTTTTAAAGAAACACAGAGAAATAGACGGGACTCCCTTAAAAGTTGGAGAAACTTAAACATGCCATGATCTCAGTATATTGGCTAGCTAGCATGGCGGAACCGCAGAGGAACTTCTGATGCCAATTTCACCAGTATATACGAAAAACAAACTCACGGCTCACTTAATAACAATTCCCAGGCTCTAAGCTACGGCAATTCAAATTAATAAGCCCCGCAGTATCACCTTCGAGATATAGAAACTTCAAGCTTCTAGCATTGAGATTACTTATGATAAGTCATGAGATAACTGCTTCTCCGGAGCTATCTACTTCTCGGGAAGAAAGAAAAAAAAAAAAAAAAAAAGAAGCATCTAGAGACATAACACTTCATGACTGCACTCATGTCCACATTTTCGAGCAACTAGGTAAACCATATGTAGCCACGACATGATCCAGAAACCCTTGAAAGATTACAACTCCATCGGCCCCTTAAAGTAGCATACACCAATCTCAGGAAATCAAGTGAAAGCTGTAGAAAACACAACAAAAATTGAGCGAAAACCGCACCTTCCTCTTTGCAAACGTCAGCTTCTCGGCAATCGACGATTTCGGAACCGTATAACCTAACCTCTGATCCTTAGGCTTTCCATTGAGCCCCAAATCCTCAATCACGCGCCCAACAGCATCGCCAGCCACAATATCCTCCGGAGCTAGGGTTGCACACGCGGACGCCAGCTTCTCCCTCGCCTCCGCCATCAAACCCAGCTCCGCCTCCGTCGGATCCCTCCCTCCGCGCATCCTCCCCATCGCCGCCAGCACCAGCACGATCTCCGCCACCCTTCCGAACTCCGCCCGCTCGAACCTCGGCTTCTTCGCCGCCGGAACCGCCGCTTCCCCGCTTCCTCCATCCAGCGCCCCTCGCTTCTGCCCCGCGGGAGACGCGGCCGGGCCGTCCGCCCGAGGCGGCTCCGGAGCCTCGGGAGAGAGCGCGATCGCCGAATCCATCCGTCAGAGCGAGAAGCCCATGCGCCGCGTCGGCGACTTCGGAGGACCTGCACAGGCAAGAGGCCGGAGACATGATCGATAGGGAGGAGCTCCAGAAACGCAACGCAACGCAACGAAACGAAACCCTAGGAGACGAGAAGGAGAGCGGGAGGGCGAGAGACGGGGAGGGAGAGGGGAAGCGTTTGAAATGTTAGTTTCGCCGGGACGAGAAATCAAGAGATCCGACGAGTAATTTTACCTTTTTGGCGGGTAAAGCTCGCCCTTCGTGGTAATTTTGAGATAATATTAGCGCATGCGAGGGCGAGGAGAGAGAGAGAGACAAAGGATCGCCTGTGTGCTGTGATGAGAGCGCACGCACAGAGCGAGGATGTGTGAGAGAGAGAAGGGCGTTTTGGTTGTTCGAACCGGGTCCGGTGGGGGTTTATAAGCCGGGTTTTCTGTGGCAGGGAAAGTTAGGGCTCCGGCGGGATTTTCGGATCGGGGGGGAGGCCGGCTTTTGGTTGGGCCTTTTTGTGGGCCGGAGCAGCACCAGGACGGCCCAATTGGGGTTCCTTAGCACCTTGGGGAATTGCTCCTATGAAAGAACGATGGTGGGAGAATATGAAGAATGTATGCCAACACTCTGAGCAAAAACCCCCCATGCTGAGAAGATCAAATTGTCCCGCCGGTGCAAAGCTTATTTTTAGTATCTTTGGTTAGGTTTTGGTGGATGGGTTTGTAGTTCTCGAGCGGGTATGAGAATCTGAGACTTAGCATGGGCATTTCGGGAAAGAAAATGGCGTTTCTGTAAATAGAGGCGCGATGATAATGGACGTGATGGTACAAGATGATCTCCGAATATGAAACCGATATGTTTATTTGGTATTTTTAGGACGGGAAATATGCGAGTGGCTATTGAATAAGGGACCGAGGTATGTTTTTAGTATTTTTTCAAAAAATGATAATTAGCTTGATTTGGTGATGTCACGTGATGAATAGGGATGATTAGTTCCCGGGTGGGCGGTTGCCACCTTGAATACCCTGGAATCGGGTACTGCCCACTAAGGACCGATTCCACAAAGTGGGAACTGAGAATCGTCCGTTGGTTTCATGTGAATCTATAGAACTAGTTTTTTTGTATGTGCGTGCGTGCGATAATTCTCTGTTCAGTATCAAAACGATACTACGACAACTGACGACGCATTTTCATTCTCTTACTCTTTTCTTCTTCCAACTTTCCTCGGACATTTAAAGAACCAAAATGATAAACAGAGAAAGCTCATAAAAGAAAAGTTCGGACCTTTTCAACCCCCTTCAAAAAGTCTCAAAAGAAGAAACCCAGAGCAATCAAGACATTGAACACGGTCGCCACTAAATATGTTGGGGTCTCAGCTAGTGATCCCCCTTTTCCTTTCATATCAACACCAACCCAGAATTCTCTTCCCTTTTTTCTTTTAAATCTCAAACACAAATCCAAATAAACTATTCAAGAAAGAGACCCCAACTCTCTTTAAATTAGTCTGAAGCAAGAAAGGAAATAACTTTTAAAGAGGTCACATAAATGGTTGGTCATTGGTGTAAGCAGCGAAGGGAGACTATACAGTAAAAAGAAAAACGCATTTAAGATGAGGCGAGAGAATTGAGAGGGCTAGGGTAGAGAGTGTGCGTGAGAAGGTGGAGGATAGGTGTGTGCAATCCCGTCCGGGTGGGCGAATGGGTGGTTTCACACTTGCAATCGAAAACTGGATCAGTACTTTATTGGAACTAGAAACCAGACCGATCCTATGAGAACCACGATTTTGGTCTTGTTCTAGGCGGTTCGGGCAGTTTCCAGTTCTTTCGCACACTCTTAGTGATAATATACAATCAAGCTCGGGCATCGAAATGACTCAATTCATCTCGTTCTTAAAAGGACAAAAACCCCCCATATTCATTTGAGACAATCGTAATATTCCAACTTGAACTTAGGATTGTTGGTCACATGATGGGCTCAGACTTTTACATTCGGTTACTATTATCATTTTAGTGTTTGCGTATGCAAAAATTGCACGCGTTAAATAATAAAAGTTGTAAAGTCACGATTATATAGATATTGTATATATGAAGGAGAATTCGAACAAAAAATATATATATATATGAAGGAGAAAAGTGGGTGGAAAAAATAAAAAAAGTGAAATTTGCAGCAATGTTTTAGACTAAAAGTTTTGATTTTTCTGTTTTGAAATGAGCTTACACTCATTATCTAGATACAATATTCATATAAAATGTAAAGATATTTGAGAAGGAAACACTTAACTAAAGACGGAAACTCGATTTCCCTTTGGCTATGCTCTTCGCTATAGAGTAAATTCATTCGAAATAATAATACGATCGAGGTGTAATATAAAGATAATCAATAGCAATTCTTTCTTTTATCCGTAAAAGGATGAAGATGGACGATTACTGAGGGTCGTCATAAGGACCCCACACCCATTGCGAAGTGTTCGATAGCAAAGTTGCCGCCCTATGATGCTAGCGGTTCCGTATCCAAAAAATGAAGCGAAAAATACCTAACTAATTTTGCACCTAATGACCCATCAGGAAGTTCAATTCCCCCCCTTTTTAAAATCTTTTGCTGTCCGCCTTTTTTTTCAGTGTTTAAAATTATTATTAATACAAACCAATTGTCTCGTATGTATGTTGACACCCAAATTTTGCGGGAAGTTTGCGACATCGTAAAATAACGATTTCACTCGACACCCCAGTCACAACTTAAACTTACATGTATGGAGAATCCGAATACGTTGAATCCAGAAACATGAATAAAGATTAATATACTTGTCATGAATAAGGGCATTTAATAACTTTCTACACGAATCAAAACCATTGCATTGCGTCAATAGTTCACAATATAATTTACTTCCATCTGGAAAAGGTTACCAATCTCCCCTTGAACCGCATACACCTTCTGGGATATGCATAATCAACACCAACAAAAGAAAGAGGAAACATCACAGTCAACAATGGACACCATAAATCTTATTTCCTCCTAAAGACAAAACAAGAATGAATCTGGGAAATCTTCCCAAAAATTAATGTTCATGAGAAATTCCTCTGAGATGTCCAGCTTTCAATATTTTTCTTTCAACGGAAGCACTGATCCTGTGACTCCATATCCTAACCAAACAAGAATGACGGTTCTCTTCTCGGGTGGGTCTCTAATACACCGCTAGTAAATACACACTATCAAAACATTACAGACGGTAGAAGCCTGTGATTTTTTTCTTTTTTTTTTTTGAGGCAAAACCAACAACCCAAACAGATGATCATACGCAAACCCTGCCTGTAGGAGCTGGTGATGAAGTACCCAATGCACCGGCTTAACGGAATGGCGCATCTGACCATCTTCAACATGAATGCAAATCATCTTGGATGTGTAAAAAAGTTAATCTTCACAGATAAAATCAAAGGAAGTAATCTGGAGCCGGTTTTTTCGCAGGAGTGCCTCTTGATTCCTGTAACATATCATGGTTCGGTTCAACCAGAAAGAAGAAAAGAACAAAATTAGAAGAATCTGGAAGTGCTGTATTGCAAATTAAGAATTGCAAGTTAGATCCTTCTCGAATGATGTTGATCATTTTCAGAATAATCTTTCAGGGGATAAGCATACATGCATTCGTGGGCCACGTCAATTAATAGGGGTGGCTCTGACTTTAAAGAAAGAAAAGATGAGGGACTGGGGACATGTTATGAGGATGTTTCCAAAGATGTGAACCTATTAAACGTAATCACCAGAAGTGAATTAAGAGAGAGCTGTCATGCATTGCAAGAATTCATATCTTTAGTCCAAAAATTACAAAAGACCCCAATTATTCATGCCAACCGTGTATTAGATCTGCTTTGCAATTTCAAAAAGCTAAGTGCATCTAGGACAACCTAATTCACGTGAATCCACTGCTATAAGAATTTGTTCCCTTCTTCCCCGAGTAAATAGTTCACCACGGCACACACGGTTCATCAACTATTGGATAGCAAATAGCTGCCACATAAACTTTTAGATCTTGCATATAGTTGAAAATGCTCGAATGAGACATCAACCTGAACATTGGTAAAGCATACAAACCTGCGGTGCAGCATCAAAAACGCGAAACTGTTTGTTCAAGTTCTCATCGAGCTCCAGAATGGCAGCTACGTTACCACATCTGCAACACATCCATTCACGAGGTAAAACACCGAAATCTCGGACAACTAAAGGGAAAACTGTAAACTAACTACTTACCTGTAACAGTAATTTGGAGCTGACCAGACTGTCACAATTTGGTCATTAAACATCCATTTATATCCCTCCATCACCAACTGATGTGCACGGCATATATAGTCAATGTTATTAGAGTGATTAAAGGAAGTCACGACACTTCCACCGAATAGGAAACCAGCACCACGGGGGCTCAAACCCCATCCATCAACAATATCCTCAGGATCGGACCACAAGAGATCGCACATTGCACCATCATGAGGTACTTCTTGCTTGCGGTCAATTGTCCGAATCTAGAAAACGGATCGAGACATTACAACTCAATTTTCACAGGAAAAGCTTCAAAATTAAATAATATAAGATTATCTTTCTGACCTGATCTAATGTGGATATGGCAGGAGAGAGACCACCATGGACACTGAAGATTTTGTTCTCAATGAGCGCTGACAAACTGTACATATGACCAAGCAACTGTAATCAGACAGTTATCTTGCCTCTCAAGGAGTATTAAATGAAAGCAAGTATTATTGGCAGAATGAACAGTACTGGCATATTGGAATGACAGTAAACTTTTGCATTAAGTGAAAAAGCATCGCTGCTGTGGGAACTATAGTTATTAAATGACTCTGCGAGCAAGTCAAGACGACTAGCATGCATATGCTTTACCTTAATCAAGAAGACACAAATTAAAATCCTAAATGGGATGGTCATCCAGTCAAATGCATTTACCTTCACCATAAAAGGTTCATTGCAAAAGAAGGGAACAAAAAGAGAAAATTATTGTCCAACATAAATTTCAGAGACACACTTCATCTGGTCTCACCGGAAGTAGACAAAAATAAGTTATGAAGCATGTCAAGGGAAAAAGTCTAGAGTTATAAATTCTCTTGGACATTACGTAACCACCGACTACATTCTAAACCAAAATTATCAACACATAAACAAGCAAACCCCTATGGTTGCATTGCAAACAAAGAGAAAAAAAAGGGGGGGGATTACAAAAACCATCCCCAACTTTGTCCCCTCTAGTTTCAAAACACCTTTGCACCATCTTCAAGTCCCTATACTTTGCACCCAGAGATTTCAAATAAATTTACACTTTGCACCTGTAGATCCTATGATTCATTAACCTTTTCCTAGTGTTAGACTGCGATGTGCTAAATGCATACTTTTTGAAATCTCATGGTGCAAAGGATAGGTTGTCGGAACTAGAGGATTCAGAGTGTCACCTAGGGGGATGTTACCCCCCCAATTCGTCGTGTTCTAGCAAACCCTGTTGCATGACTTATAAAAGCCATTATGCTTTTTATTTGTTTTCATTTTCATATGACCTCCTCAGTTCCTCACAGACAGATGAAGTACCCGAGTGAATAAAATGCCAGACAAACCTTAAGTAATCAAAGATGTCGGTACAATATCTCCACACATTTGCAGAGCCATATTTTCGCAAGCACTCATCGTAGAAGCCATAGACCTATTAAAAGAGCATGGAAAAACATATTTAGATAAAAGGACTCGTATATCAAATAGATTTCAAAGAGAACAGATTCGTTTTACCTGAGTGATCTGCCGGCTTTCATGGTTTCCTCGAATCAGTGTTATTCTGTCAGGGTATCTCACCTGATTGCAGAGGAACTTTGTCAAAACCAAGTAGAAGGAATGACGTGCCGAAAGAAGGACGATTAAGTCACATCAATTCGTTTTTGAGATCAACATACTCACATCCTATAAATTATGCGATTTGTGTTGAGGAAGCAACTTACAACAGAAAAATTCTTTCACCAAATAATGCGTCATTCCTTTAATGCAGCTGACAAAGGAAAACCAGGCATGAGGAGATACTCTACTTTATTTTCCCTTGGGCAGAAAGGTACAACTGCATTTCACTAGTTACTTGAGGGAGTTCCCCCCTACCTAATGCCGTTGCAGTTGCAAACCAAGTGTATGCACGAAGGCAACAGAAAAACGACCTTGACCTATTATTCTCTCGCCTCTTTATTATACAGAAATTTTTTTAGTAAAATGTCCACCATATCTGGACGTCTAGGTGGATTAGATCAATCACTGAAAAAGAAAGAGCTTCATCCTCACGAAAGATTAACGAAAAGCATATCCAGGGCAAAGTTCGTCTACACTCGAGCAGAAACGCTGCTTAGCATTCTTAAAAACTACAACCATGAAATCGAGTATTGCTGCCTTTTTACGTCCCGATTCCTGTGAAAGGAATGGGTTTGCCTTAAAGGTGATAACTGTGGATAAGATGTCACACAACAAATCGCTGCTTAAGTCTAGTTAATTTAGTAAAACAAGAAGTTCTCCTTAGTGAGAAATTAAATAGCAAAAAGCAAAATCATTAAATAAAACGGCCATTCCATCCACACAATCGTAAACAAGAAGAGAGACAAAGTACAGTTTAGTACCTTCAAAGCAAGCAGAAGTAGGAACGTCTCGACGGAATAAAATCCCCTGTCAACAAAATCTCCCAGAAATAAGTAGTTGGTCTTGGGGCAATCGCCTCCGACTTTAAAGAGCTCCTTCATATCGTAGAACTGACCGTGAATGTCTCCGCATATCTACAAAGCGGAAAGCAGCGGGGCCGCTTAGATATTTAAACCCGCAATGCAGTCATCCATTCATTCATACATTCATTCATGCCAAGAACATCTACAACGTAATACGAAAAGTCTCACAGCCTAATCAGATTGAGCATGCCCTAGCTGAAAGTGAGAAGAAATACACGGTTGCTCTCCACTCGTCCAAAGCCCTACCATATCGCAGTCAGTCAGGGGAAAAGCACAACAGCAATGTGAACCATCATCCACCATTACCGTTCCGGCCGGAACAAGCAAATCAATCAAACCCCCAGTTCACCCTCGTTCACGTAAAACCCATTTACCAAAAGCCTCAACAACAACACCCAATCAACTGAAATGCACGGTACATCCTTTCCACAGAGGCGAAGGAGGAGCCCTAAAAGTAGACCCCCCCGGAGCTCCCCAAAACAAACGACAAGCACGAGACGGTCCAAAGAATGCCCTAGATCGAAAAGACGCCCTCCCATATCAAAAGCATCAGCGGCCGCTACTTTCGAAACCCAACAAAAGAAGAAGAAGAAAAAGGGGTGCGGGGAAAACGAAACGGAAAGGAACAGAAACGAAACGCTCGACTTGAGGCGTGGGAAGCTGAAAAAAACGAAGGGAAAGTGAGAAACTTTACAGTGACGGGAGCGTCGACGCGCTGGACGTTGCTCTCTTCGACGAGGATTTCCATGGCCTTGAGGCAGAGAGCCTTGACTTCCGACTCCTTCAGGGGCTCGCATCGCTTCAGCTGCTCTATCTGCCTGTCCAGGTCCGACATCTCCTCCTCCTCCTCCTTCCCCCGCTCTTTCGCCGGAGCTCAGTTTCGCCGGAGCCCCCCCCCCAAGAAGAACCCCGTCGATCTGAGACTCTCTGCCCACCCCCCCTCTCCCTTTCTCTCTCTCTTACGTGGCTGTCAATTTCATTGCTCGCCCGTCGCTCCCTTTGGGCTTTAATTCAAAAACTCTTATAGCTCGTTTTTATTCCATACGCGGTATGAGCCCTGCGAAGCGTCGTGCCTCTCAACTCACATCGTAAGAGATACCATTGTAGCTTGATGCATGGAATGTATAAATGGTGCGTACAAGTATTAAGTTCGAGTTATGAACCTTGCGTAATTGCGGAACAAACAAGAGTACTTCCATACAAGTTATCTCTTGATTGGATACAACGAATAGAATGCAACGGATACATTTAAAATCGATTTCTTGCGGAACACTTTTTTCCTGTAATTAACCGACGTAAAAGATGTCTATATTGCAGATTCCAAATCCCCCAATGACATTTAAGGGTTCCGAAGATATTAAGGTAAATTAAATTATATGAATAACGGTCGAAGCAGGTGATATTTACGTATTGTAATGTAAACGAGAAAATTGACGATACTCATGCTAAATCTAATAAATCATGGTAATATGTCCGGTGTTAGGCACATTGGATAATTGAATAAAGGCCACTTCGGTTTTGGCCAAATGTCGATCCACCTCCCCGGCAAGTTTCGCTTTAGCATGCAAGAAGCCATCGTGAGGGTAAACACCAATTGTGGAGGTGGTGGGTTTTCCACTTAATTATGATGCAAAAGTTGTAGCGATCATGTCATTTTCTGATGGAATTTGCCAAAACCCACAGTCCCCATCCACTACTTAAATTATAAGTAGTTAGTTAAAACAAAAGACAAGAATCATCAATCCGTATAAGATTCGCAGCACGTCCGACGTTATTTTTCCTTGATTTGGGAAGTAATAGGTGATGTAACCGAGGAACAGCCCACCTTAGGAAGGAATCTGATGGAGAAAGCAGCTTCATGATGTGGATGTTCGGTTCGTTTCGTATGTGAAATTTATAAACACACACAGAGAATAGATGCCCCAGATGCCTCCACAGTTTGATACTGCATGATTGCACATCCTAAAATTTGTCAATTTTGTACACTTAAGTCTTGAAATTTTCATTTCCATTTCGTGCCTTTTAAATCATAAAACTTGTAAATTTGGTCCATCAACGAAAACAAAGGACTCAAGGCACATGAACTTGCAAACTCTCAGAGCTTAAATGAACAGAATGATAAGTTTTATAATTCGAGTGCACAAAGTTGACAAGTTTTAAAACTGTGATCGTAATTATTTCCTCCTCTGGCATTTTTGTGCATGGTCACCTCATTTTAGAAAAGAAATTCCAGGCGATGCGATTGGACAGTGTCTACTGCTCGCGCAATGTCATCATTCCGATACCTTTCTTCTGCTGATCCGCTAAGTCCGAGCACATGGCCACTCGCAGTAAGCTTTCAATCATGTACATACTTCTGGATACCACTGATCCATTAAAAGCAGGAGTCAGTTACAGTATTATTATTTTCTCCACACCCCACTGAAATTTTCCTGCGACCATAAAGCCCCAATTCAACGCTAACTTACATAAATTACACAGCCAAAAACCGTAGCCCCTCATTTTCTCTACTCAATATTGCAACTCTACACAAATCTTAGCAGCAAATACAGATAACAGCAGTACAGTTACACAGCAACCATTGTTAAGGAGACACTAGGACTGGTTCAGTGCTGGAAACATGAGAAGCGGCGTCTTCTTTCGATACGGCCACGTAATTCACCGGAGCAACGGGTCTCGTGTTATCCCTCTTCCCATCTTTGTTGATGGACCTGCTGCCATTTTGGGATGCATTAAGAGAGAGCCGTCGGCCAGGAGTTCCGTTGGTACCTCCATTTGCACGTCCGCCGACCGCCTTCTTTCCACTGGTCGATTTAGCCGGACTGGACCTTGACCCAAACATGGCTTCTTGTTCTGTGCTTTGCTGGTCCTGGAACTTCTTCTGATCCTGTAAAGTTCAGAATATGCAAACAAGGGGAGAATAAAAATCACTACTCTTGCATAGCAAGCATTAAACACAGGCCAAGCAAAACCTTGCATGTAATTGATCTGAAAAAATTCATGTCCCAAATTGCATGCATCCATTATCTATGGACTTACTCTTAATCTCCGCTTCTCTTCTTCTCTTTCATGCCTCAGAATAGCATACTCGTCGAGCATGGCAAGAAGAGGAACGCCGTCATACATGAATGACACGCCACGATCTTCCTCCCAGGTACGGGTTTTCGCTACCAAACTGTCAACCAAGGCTACAAGACCAGAACACCGATCAACCAAGAATACTACCATCGCTGTAGTTTCCACAGTGATATATTATGTGATCATCTGTAACTAAGTAAAGAACTGCTAGGGTTTCGAGCAAAAAGGAAAAAAAAGAACTGCTAGGGTTAAAGAAAGGTATGTTTTATTCAACATCGTTATGTTTTTCCATTGCCATTCTCATAGTATGCAGATTCTGGTACTATATAAAACAATTCCAACCAACATCAACTGAAGTGCACACCGCTTTTATGCAATAACAGACTTAACAGTGCCTTGGTAATCAGAAGAACATCAGTTCATCCCTCCAGAACTTAATCCAGCTCGTGACCAAACTTTGCTACGGCATGGAGAGAGAAAATAAAGGATGACCCTCACTTGACATCCCTGTAACTGATAGATCATAAAGTAAATAAGATCTGACAACACTAACCATATCTACTAACATCACCCTTCATTCAAAGGCATTCTCTTTCAGTGATCCTTCAATCATCATCACTTCTATATGTCGGCAAAAGATCTAGAATGTTCAACTTAATTGATGACCCTACCGGGAATTTTGCTGACAAGAACTCGGGCCTTCTCGGCACGCTTGAGATTTAAGTGTGCACCTCTACTTGCACTATACCTGTTATCATCCTGTAAATGAAGGAGTACTGAAATGAGCGAAACTCACGGCAATAACTAGGACAAGATGCTTAAAGGATTGTATCAAGGAGAATATCATTCTGCAGATTCCTACCCAACTTAATAATGGTGGTATCTGCTTTAACTGACTATGACTTTTGAAGAGGTAACTAAGGATAAGTATCTTCCCAGGTAGACTCACAATCTTTAATTAGCATTGGTGTTAGTGAACGGGTTATTGTTTGCCAGTGGTCTTGATCGGTGACTATTGTGCTCAAGATCATCTGTTATTGTACTCAAATGTGGCAGATTGGATGGCTTCATATTTTTTGGAGGACATATCAACCATTTTCAAGATTATGCAATCCTAATTCTTGTCCATGCCAACAACAAATTGGCAAGTAACAAGGCTAGAATGACAAATCTCGTGATTCCACTATTCATGGATGCTAACTTGAGCATGGTTTTAGCTAATAAACCATACAGGTAAGACAGTACTTCAGCATTCTCAGCATTTGAGCTGTGCCACAGTTGTGTCTACTGCAAGCACAATGCACAAAGATGCTGCATGAGCAGCAGTTCCAGAATTCAGAGATAGAGAGATTGAAATCATTAATACCCGATTATAGTCTTCAAGCCAACTCTCTTCTTCACAAGCAGACATCCATTTCTCAACCTTGTCCAGAATCTCTTTTCTGCTGATGGCTTCTTCTTTTGCTTTTGATATCTGATCATCCATGTCAGCTAGTAACTCAGTAGGCTCAACATTGCCAGAATCAACCAACGCCATAATTCTTTCCCTAGCAGCCTCTGGATCTATTTCTATATGAGCACCAGCATATATATCCTCCAGCTCAGCTTGTTTTTTAAAAGCGAGTTCCTTCATCCTGCTGGATTTAAGTTGATCGAGCCTTTCAACTTCCACCGCAGCCTTCACATTGAAAAAGAAAGAACAGAAATGAATTAAAGCACCCATTACTCTAGATACCTATTGCAAGGAAATGGAAAAACTATACCTGCTCGATAAGATCCAAAGCAAGAGCACCCGGGACTGTTACTTCATCGACAGATGCTCCTATGTTACAGGTAACATGGTCAAATAGGGCCCTTTCTTCTTCTGCAGTATCCATCAAATTCCACAGATCAATTAGCTGGGAAGCTAGCGCTTGAAGCTGCGGTAACAAAGACAAGTCAATGCTTAGACTGCAATGGTAGGAATGGGTGACACAAAAAGTAAAGATTGGAAGAAGAGAGAAGCAAGATATTCAGATGGTAAACGTACAGCTGACAAACATTGAGGAACATGCAAAAGTACCAGAGAGGATTGTGGCTCTCTCTACCTTGTCTTTTCTCATAATCTAAAACACTCTAGGACTTACTCAACAACATGATTGTGTCATTGGTTACTCATATTTATGTATAGATTTTTTTTAAGTCATAAACTCCTCATAACCCAGCCTCCACAGACTAAAGACTCATATGATCGGACCCCTCAACCAATGCTGCAGTTTGAGTCGATCTTACAAGCAACAAGATTTCTCACATCTGTTTACCAAAAAAAAAAGATGTCTCAGATCGCGTCTTGCAAAAAAAAAGGATTATTCTATAATTTTTGAGAAATTTTTCGGCAATTGAAACTAGCACAATGTTGATGTTCTTTCACACAGATGAATAAGTGCAAAGCAAAAGAAGACATGCAGCAACAGTCATGTTCAACAACTTAAGTAGAAGTCTACCTTGATTTCAACTACTGTGCGACTGTACTAAATTGAGTTACCTTCTGCAACCTCTGTTTCTTATCTTCCTCCAGAGCTACAACTCTCTTAGCCAGTCTGGATAAAGTATCATTGCTAATGCTTTTGGACTGCACACCAGTCGAGTCATTTAAGGTGGGATGGACTTCAGTAACCGTACTGAAGAAGTCCATCCCTAGTACAGCACAGAGATCATGGACTGTGCTCACAAATTCAAGCACCTTGTGTAGCCTATCACTCTGCCACATAAAAAAGCAATCAGATAGGACTACCCGAGTGCATATAGGCTGACATTTCGAGATGAGATGAGTACACGATCTACCTTCTCCTTTT